GTTGCACATGTCGCAAAAAAATGTGACAGCCCATGAAAAGCTGAAGATAGATTTTTCGAGAAAATGAAAATTTGCAAAGGACATTTATGTTTTGTGAAACGAAAATGGGGAAAGGTTGGGAGTAAGTAGAAGACTTTGAAGGGAAATTTTAATAAAAAATTATAAATAAAATAAAGACTCCTTTCAGCTGACTTTCCAAATTCTTATATCTTTTAAGAATTTTATTTTATTTTAGAAAACTTTTAAACATTTTTTAATATATTTTTTTAATGAATTGTTTATCAATAAAAGATTTTAAACGTCGTTTTTTTAAGACTAGGCCCTAGTTATACATATATTTTTCAAGCCAATATCACCATCAAATTTTCTGGTGATTGTGAAAAAAAAACCAAAATAATAATAGTCCTCACCAGTCAGATAAACATAGAAAAAATAATTGTTAAAAAAAATCAAAATAAATGAAATAGAAAAAAAAATAGAAAAAATAGCCGCAAAGGCAGCGCCAGACAACTGAAAGTTGTTGCGTTTTTTTTCTTCTGATTTCTTAGCCAAAACGAGTTTGTTGTTGTAATTGCAATCACTTTTTAAGTTTTTGGTTGTTGTTGTTGTTTTTGGCTTATAAAATGCGATACCAGAGACTAGTCTGGGAGTCTGGGGTCCCCGGGCTCTCAGTGGAATGTTAAGCCACAACACACTATTCGAACTCTATTACCTTTTACAATTCTGATTCGATTTTTAGGGATTAGACATGTTTTCTTTTAATTTTATAACTAAATTTTAAGAAATATAATTTTAAAAATCTTTTAAATCATTTAAGACCAATATAATAAAGAAATTAAATGGAAAATACATATTAATTAATTGTATGAATCTACCATAAAACAAAAGCATTATTTCGACTTATTTTTGTATATTTTATATTCTAATAATACATTTTAATATTAAAATTGACTCATTTTATATAATTTAAAAACTGTATTTTACTTTTAAACGAAAAGGAATCTAGTAAACTCTTTTAAGTAGAAAATATTTGATGTTAAACATTTTATTAAATATATAAGTAGATGAAATTCATTTAACTTCTGTTTAGTTTTCTTTGTAGACTTATCCCACTTTTGTAACCACAATTGTACATATATCTGCATCATACATATATAGTCCAAGAGATCGTAAGCATATATGTATGTACATATCAGAAAGAAATAGAAACGAACCCACAACAATCGCAGCATAAACTCTAAATTGCTCAATAGAAGTTGTTTGCCTTTGGCGGCCAACACCAACAATTACAATTACAATTACAATTGTACTATTACTATTACACTTCCAAGGAAAAATTCCAGAAATAAATATGTGAAGTAAACTTAGACTATAGAAAATAAAACAAAACTAAACAAAAACGAGCCCTTTTGGGACACATAAATACGCCCTGAAAAAAAATGTTGCAAAAAAGCCCAACCCAAGCAACTAGCCAACAATAAACAGTTAACAAGCAAAGGAAACTTTGGTCAAGACAAGAAAAAAAAACCTTGCCATCTTAAATTGTGAATAATACCCTTAAGTGTGTAATTTTTTAAATTTAATTTTAGGGTTTTTTTGTTGAGTTTTTTCGTAGCCTTGGAATACAGGCTAGTTGGTACCCAAAACTTGTTGGCCCAGAATCTTGGATCTAAGAAGATTCTTGAAAAAGAATGGTTTAACATTTATGTTTAATAATACAATAGTTAACTAGAGAATTAAGAAAAAATATTTAATATTTAATAAAATATATATTATTTATTTAATTATAAATCAAACATAGGAAACCAAGTAGTTTCTTTGAGAATATTAAAAATATTAAAAAGTAAACAAGAAAAACTTGGTGATAAAGTTACTATTTTGTTAAATGTTTATAGTATTTATAAAAAAAATTAATAAAGATTTTCTTGATTTTTAGATAGTTTTTAGTACCGATTTTTCTTCATACAAAAATTAAAATAAGGAAAACAATATTAAAAATATTTTCATAGCTAAGAAAAATACCATAAATATGAATATCTTCATCAAAAGAAATATCTACAATTATTAAAAATTCCTAAACATACATGTACATATTAAAAATTTATAACAAAACAAAATAAAAAATAACCCCCTTAAACAATATACAATTATTAATAAATAAGAGTATAAAAAGATTCGACTCTTAAGCCAGATTTCACCTGCATTGTTCAAAAGCGACACATTTTGTTTGGAAAATTCTCATCAGCCGAGACAACACGACACAAAAGACACAAAAAACAAAAACAACACAAAAGCACCAAAAGGGAAGCAAAGTCTCATTTCACAAACAAATTTATACACAAATAAGAAACTAAAAAAAAAATTAACAAAATAAAACAAGCGGGAAATAATAAAGAAAAGCCAGCAGAAAAAGTCAAGAAATATTTGCATGAAAACAGTTGCCAAATTAAAAACAAAAACAGGGGAGCAAGAAATTACAAAAAAAAAAAAAATAGTTAAAGAAAGTACAGATAAAAATAAAAAGTTGTGATTTATTAAAGGTTTGTTGATTAATAACTTTGACAGAAAAAAAAATTATTTATGATTTCAAGTGAGATTTTAATTAAATTTTTGTAGAATTTGAAAGTAAAATGGTTTTAAAACTAAACTTAAAATTTAGAGAAAAAAAAATAAAATATAAATAAAATTTAAATAAGTTTTAAAAAGGTTTCTTTTTTTTTAATTTAGAGTAAAATAAACCAAGAATATCACTCTTTTCACAAGTTAAGCCATTTCTTTTAGTTTAATAATTTAATAAAATATTTACAAGCTCTAAAAATAATTGTAGATAATTTTACAAGAAAGTGCACTCAACTTTTTCTTAGTGTAACCATCTTAAGATCTGATCAAGACGACGCACTTTTGATTTCTTTTGGATTTTTTTTTTTTTGGGCGGGCCAGAAACAGAAACAGATTTTACAGCCAAGCGCCTCTGGCAGAAGCAACAACAAACAACAACCATCTGGCTATTATAACAGCCACAACAACAACAAGAAAAAGAAGAAGAAGAAAACCAGCCAAGAAAAGTAAGTTACTAAGTCGAAATTGGCTTATAACGGGACGCACTTTCACTTAAAAATCAGCTGCAAGATTGAAACTCTCTTTCAATTTTTTTCGCCATTTTTTTTGTTGCTTTTATTGTTTTTTAAATTTTTTAGTCAGCAATTTTTAGCAAATTATTATTATTTTTTAATGCAAAAAATATGCAAATATAATGCCCTAAAAAAAAGGGGAGTGGCACGGATATACTTAATAATTTTCATAAATTTCAGAGTAAGTTTTTGGAAAAAATTTTGCAAAATGTAAGCTACAATAACTTTCAATAACAAAATGATATAATTTTTTAATTGCTTATTTTTATTATTTTCTTTAATATTTATTACCACTTAATAGATGCCGTTACAAATTGGAAAATGTTAATAGGCCAACGATCTCCGATATTGGCTTTTATTATGCAACAATTCAGTAGCATGACAAAAACTAAAAAAATCAAACAAAAAACAAATAAACGAGTCATTTACTGTTTTTTTGTTTTTAACGACGCTTTTACTTTTGTTTTTGTTTGTTGTTGCTTTTTTTTCTACATTAATTAATTATGTCTGGTAGTGGTTTTCCAATTATGACAGCTATTGGTAAGTGGAAAGCCGTTTAAACCAAGTTACCAAAAATAAAACATTGACAGAAAAAAAAAAAAATTAAATAAATCATTTAAGCCAAAAAAAGAAAACCAAAAGTTAACAAATTTTTGGATTTTGGACTTTTTAAGAATTTGTATCATGGCTTGGAATTTTGAAAGCCAACAAAAAATGGTAAAAAGCGGGCTAAGGTATGCATGGGAGTATGGAGTGTGTTGCTCGGGGCCCTCTAGGCTTTTGGAGATATTTTTTTTTTTGGCCATTGTCTGGACAAGGCCGAAACAATGCACTTTTTAAAGCTTTTAGAGAGCTCCAAAAATCAAAAGAATTGTCTACCAGTTGAGGACTTGATGGTCCATCAATCAAATTATAGATTCTGCGCTGTCCTAATAACAAAATATATTGTTAAAAAAAAAACTATATTTTTTAAGATTTTTGTATAGTTTTTTTTTTTTGAAAAAATGGAGAAATCAATACCAGATATTAATCCTGTCGAAGGTATTATCGTTCTTAATAATAATTTGAAACGATATCTTAAAGGGCTTATGAAAAGAATGAATTTTATTTTATGAATTTCATAGGATCTTCACAGAAAAGAAAATACTGCCTAGACTGATGAATATTTATCTGGGAATATACATATATCCTTTGCTTAAAAACAATACTTTTAAGTATTTATCGTTTAATTTTCTATCGATTTTCATTAAAACTTCATCAATAAATATTTTTAAGAATTTATTGATGAAAATAATGACAAGAATCCATGAGAAAGCAAGTAGAGGATCGGGGTCGATATTAATTCCATCCTTAGGGAGGTTTAATTTTTCTATCGATTTGCATAAAAGCTTAGAAATAAATATTTTATAGATTTATACAGGAAAGTAAATATTGTATAGATAGATGGCTATACATTTTTGTAAATGTATTAACTCTATCTATAAAGATGTTACCTTTAAGATTTCCTATGGGTTTTCATCAAAAATTGATTACAAAATCTTTTTCAAATTTTTTTTCAAATTTTTCATGTGGGCTTTCCTGTAATCTTTGAAAAATAAAGAAATCTTTAGGAATTAGATACCCTTTATTCTTCTTCCCAAATTTATTCTTAAATACTCCTTATTTATTTATTTGTTAAATTTTTCACCAAACCTCCCCCTCTTAATTCCCTCCCTAAGTTCAGAAATACTGTCATACCTTATTGACCCACAAAACCCCCGATTAAAGTTCCCGATTAATTTGTATCTAAAGCTCTCTAATTAATGCCTGAGAATGCACTTCCTGCACTGGCCAGGTAAATAAATGGCCATCTAATTGATTTGAACTCACCTGGCTGTTACTGCAATAATAAATGTCCGACATCCTGGATGGGTTATGGCTTTTTTTTCACTTTAGGCCTTCCAGGTGCTACACCTCCTTCTCCGCCAGCTCTATATATTGCTGGGAATTTTTTTTCACAATTTCAAATATTCTTTTTCTAATTTTCCTTTTTTTTTTCTATTTATTTTTGTTGTAGTTGCTGTTGTAACTAAGGCAGCATGACCGCCGCCAGGTGATCCGTACGACAGGTGAGTGCAAGGTGAGCTTGCCACCTGTTTTTCTTAAACAATTTTTTTTCTTCTTATAATTTTTTTTATTATTATTATTTTTTTTTCTTTTCTTAGAAGGAAAAAGTGTCACACAGCGCACTCTTTAGATTGAAATCGATAGGTAAGTTAACGTTGTTTATTGTTACGTTTTTCACGGATAAGATTTTCCGCATCTTTTTTTTACCCAAAAACAACAACAAAAAAAAAAGGCAAAATAATAATAGAAAAAAAAAAATATAAACAAAAAGCTATACACTTCACGCTCTGTGTTGCAGAACACACACGATTTTTCCCGCTCGCTTTTCCACAAAAACCGAGACTCGCGCAGCACACCTTTCTTTCAACTCGTCTCGACTTTCTGGTTGTCTCTCAGATCTCGCAAGTTTTCTTTCTTATGATCCGGAATCCGTTGTTGTAACCGTCTCGTACGAAGCCAACACGCAGACTAACTTGGCCAAAACCATCAGCAGGCCACAAAACCGCCAACCGCCGACTTCTTTTTTTTTTTTTCGCCGCAACGAAAGTTGTCGCAACCAGTTTTTTGGAGTCTTGGTTTTCAGTTTTCAGTTTTTGGTTTTCGGTTTTTTGAGTCTCTGGTGTACTATAGATGTTTTTTCCAAAAAATATTTCCCCTCTTTGGTGAGAGAGTTGGGTTTTTGCACCTTTAAGCCGGTAATTTATAAGCCGGAGAAGCAGTTTGCAGAAAACCGTCAACAGCTGGTCGCTCAGCTCTTAAGCTAGATCCTGGTCGTAATTTATCCAGTTTAAAGGGAAGAATAAATTAAGAATAACTTTTAGCATTAAACTATTCAAAAATTAAACTAATTTTTTAATATTTCTCAACAAAAATTCAGAAAAATTTAAAATAAGGTAATAAGATAATAATAAGGGGTAAACATAATATATTACTATATATTACTATTGCGTTATTTTTTGTCATGAAACCTTAAACCTTACTAAATTAAAATAATAAAATTTAAGAAATGTATATACATTTATCAACATTGAAAAAAAAACAACAAAAACCTTCAGATTAAACTAACCAAGTCACAAAAATTATTTCACTACACTTACTATAATCCAAAAACTGTACTCATTTAAATGAAAGACCTTAATAAAATATATAGTCGACTACCTTTAAAATATTCTACAAATATTTAAATAATTTTCTCATTCAAAACGACAAAAAAGAGGAAAAATAAACTGAAATGAACACAAATTATCCAAAATTATCCTATATTATTTTGATTAAAATAATAATTTAAATCAATTATAATGAAAATTTATAGCCTTTAAAAACTCTCATAAAAAACATAAAAACTCTCATTTTGTTAAAAATTAAAACATTTTCTTATTAAAAACCACAAAAAAAGAGTCATTTCGTTATAAAGAAATTCAAAAGAACCGCCAAACCCCCAACAGAGATGTAGTTAACAGTGCTGTTGTTGTGCTATGTTAGAGCTCTGTTAGAACAGCTGTTGGGGAATGTATTCGTATTACTTCGTTAGCCGTCAACTGATTTACGTCGTTTCTGTTTTGAAACTCTAATTTTAACTGATTTCTGTGGATATCCTGGATGTGAGGCAGGACCAGCCAGCGGAAGGATGGCACGAAATGTGCTCGCAAGCAGCCTACTCGGCGCTGGCTTCAGCATTATCTTTCAGGTGAGGAGCGATCGCTGACGACTGATTCGCTGATTCCCGGGAATTTCAACGATTGATGTGGCCATTACTCATATCTTGTATTTTTTGCAGATACTATGCCGCATCCTAACCTTTGGCATCAATGCCTATATCGTGCGGCATGTCGGCCGGGAGGTGCTGGGTATCATGAATGTGCGACTGCTGCTCCTCGAGAGCACCCTGCTCTTCCTGTCCCGCGAGGCCATCAACCGGGCCGCCTTGAGCGCCAATGCCCAGCAGGGTGATCGCTGCACCTGGGCCCAGCTCATCAATCAGATGTGGCTGACGTAAGGCAACCATAACTAAGACTTCACTGTGGTAATCTAGATGTATCTTTGCAGAGTACCCATTTGTGGTGTTTTGTGTGCTCCATGCCTGTACATCTGGCTCAACTGGCTGTCGGCGGTGGACAGCATTTACCTTAGTCAGTATGAGTTTGCCTGCTATGCGGTTGCCTTGTCCTGTGTCCTGGAACTGGTCGCCGAATCGGCCGTCTTTGTGGCCCAGGTCTTTTGTTTCGTCAAGCTAAAGATTCTCCTCAATACCCTTCACATCTTTGTGCGCTCCGCCATCTTCCTGTGGATCGTGACCGGGGACGGTAGTGCCGCCATTAATGCCTTCGCCATTGCCCAGCTGTCCAGTGCCGTGACCATTGTCGTCGGTCAGTATGGTTTCTTTTATTTCTATCTGAAGGGCTTCCAGGACTTTGTGGCCCAGCAGTCCCGAAAGAAGCCACCGGCTCCCAAGGCCTGGCAGTCCTCCCTCTACAACAACATGGACGATTTCCCCTTCAAGCGACTCCAGGACTTTCTGCCGTGTGTCCTTTTCAATCCGGCTGGAAAGACCTTCAACCGTGAACTCCAAACCCTGACCCTGAGCTTCGTAAAGCAGGGCGTACTGAAGCAGATCCTCACCGAGGGCGAGAAGTATGTGATGTCGGTGTCGCCGGTGCTGAGTTTCGGCGAGCAGGCCACCTACGATGTGGTCAACAATCTGGGCAGCATGGCCGCCCGCTTTATATTCCGGCCGATCGAGGACAGCTCCTACTTCTACTTCACCCAGACCCTCTCCCGGGACGTTAAGCTGGCCAAGCAGCCACCGGACATGGTCCGTCAGGCGGGCAGTGTCCTAAAGAACCTCCTCCTCGGCGTCAGCTCCATCGGCCTGATTGCCTTCACCTTTGGCCAGAGCTATTCCCGTCCCGTCCTCCTGCTCTATGGCGGCCCAGACTTTGTGGCCGGCGGACTGCCGCAGAGTCTGCTGCAGTGGCACTGCCTGGCCATCTATCTGCTGGCCGTAAATGGCATCAGCGAGGGCTACATGTTCGCCACAAACACCAGCAAGGACATCGACAAGTACAACTACCTGATGGCCATATTCTCGGTCAGCTTTCTGGTGCTCTCCTACATCCTCACGGGCATCTTTGGCCCGGTGGGCTTCATCTTTGCCAACTGTATCAACATGATGAGCCGCATCATGTACAGCACCCACTATATCCGGCAGCAGTATCGCATCTTGTCCCTGGATCCGTTGCAGGGTCTCTGGCCGGGCAAGCTCTTCGGTGGAACTCTGATTCTAGCTGGCATTGTTTGCTATTTGGTAAGATCCTTATGCCTCCAGATATATCTAATCCTGAATCCTAATCCCCTAATCTCATTTTAGTATCAAGATTCTGATCTGATGACCCATTTTGGAGTTGGTATCCTGGCTGGCATCGCTTGCCTTCTGGCCTGGGCCCTGGCCCATCGGGATCTGGTGCGTCTGGCCTGGCACTATGGCCGTCGCCTCAAGATCGACTAGCATGGACACTGCGATATGGTTCATGGCTTCCGCATCCCAAAGATCGTTTCTTCGTTTTAGTTAATTTCCTTCGCTTTCCTCAACGAAACGCACATATTTTTATAAATATCGGATGTATATACTTTAGTGGGTTTAATTTTTTTTTTAAGTGCAATTTAAATTAGGAATAATTCAAGTCTTGTTTTTAAAAATTATTTAAAATTCTAGTAAAAATTTTGTAATTTTTTTTTGGTATATATCCATTAACCCACTATAGTATACATCATTATATACACCTACATATATATTTATATATTTATATAGCTGACAAATTGTAAATTAATTCCGAAAATTAAGTTATGTACTTATTGTGTGTTGATAGGCTTCCAGTGCTTATTTAATAATTAAGACGTGCATTAAAAGACAACGATAAAGAATGTTCAACTTTCGAATGTTCACGTTTATTATCACTTATCACTAATATTAACAACCGTTAATGGTTAATGTTACAATTTATGCCTTAGGTTCATGAATAAATCTGAAAATTGCTGAAAATTCTTATTGGTTTTTTTTTAACAGTTTATTATATTTAAAGAAAAAAAAATTATCTCATAAAAACCATTAAAATTTAACTATTATCCATAAAATATTCATAATAGTTTAAATTTTTTTTAATATTTATAATTCATATTCAAAATATTCCTTAGAAGTTCTGGTTTTTTTTTAATCTTTCTATTAACCTATTTTTTTTTATTTTTTTTTTTCGAGAAAGAAGTCTCCTTAAATTTTATGTTTTTTAATAATTTTTAGTCTAATATTTATTCATAATTTTCCATTTAATCATCATTATATTAAAATTATTTAAATATTTTAAATAAATGGTCTTTTTTTAAATCTTTAAATGGAAAAACTTATTTATTTTTATTTTTAAAGAAATCCTACTATATGTGCTTTTTAAATATATTTATGAATAAAAAACTTGCTATTCTAAAAAATACATTAAAGCTTTGTATTATTTATTTTAAAATTGATTGAAAATTATGTATTGAAATCTTATTTCATTAACATTAAACCCATGCCTTAGTTAATGAATAAATCTGAACATGATTATATTCTCTTAAAAATTTTAATTAGGGTATTTTTTAAAAGACATTTTCCAAATTCTTATGTTTTTGAATAACTTGGGCTTATTGGTTTAATTAAATTAATTATTAATTTTATTCATTTATCATATTGATGTAAAAAATATGCTTTTTTTTTAAAACAATCCTAAATTGCGAAAAATTTATAGATAAATATATATTTTTTTTAACTTTAATTTGTCCCCCAAAATTGTATTTTTATAAATCACATTGTTAAGATTTTGTCATAATTTGGCAAAGCACCTACTTATACATAGATATATTTTCTTGTTCCGATTTTTATTTAAGAAAAACATCATAAAAAAAAATAAGGTCATTGCCAACAGAAGACTATATTTTTAATGGTTTATCCATTCCATTTCATTTTTCCTTTAGATTTGTACAATAATATGTAAGACCTCATGTAAAGTTCAAAATTCCTGGAAAAAACGTGGTTTCTGGGCAGACATTTTGTAAAATTGGGAATTGCGATTTAAAATTTACGAAATTCGAGGAAAAAGTTTTCTGCACATAGAATACCAAAGCGTGCCGAAAAATACCCTAACGCCTACGACATTTCCCCAAGGCAACTATCGATGACTACCTATTTTGAGTTTTTTCAATGAGCCGGAAATTAAAAATGTTCAAAAAATAATTCATTTAATTAATAAAACTAGCTTCAAAAATAATTAAGAAAGGTAGGAAAAATAATAAAACACATAATTTCATTAAATTAAGTGGTTTTTTTAGTATTTGAAAATACGAAAAAATATCGATAGACCGATAATTGTTGGCTGGTATTTAATTAAGCGGTGAGTGGTCACACTAGGCAACCGAGCGCCAAGCAACAGATTCGTTTGTTCTTTTTTTGCTTTCGCACATTCAGTGGAAAACTGATCCCGATGAAACGCACCAAAGACGAGGAAATTGCCTCAGTGCCGGCCCATTCCACGGGCCAACAATCCAGTGCCGGAAACAACGGCACCGACGCCTCCACACCGATTGCCGGTGTGGTGGCCACCACTGGTCCGGTTGCATCCACTTCGATGGCGTCGACAGCAGCAGCCGCCGCTGTTCGCACAACAGGACGCGTTAAGGTAAGACTATACATGGCTTATGGTTGCCAAAACCAGGTGATCTCTAAACTCATGCACTTTTGTGACCTTCTCACTTCCCAGAAACCGAAACAAGTCTATGATCCGTCAGACAATTATGTCTCGCGGAACCGAAGCTCTCTGGCCGCTGCTGGAACTTCTTCGGTACCAACCATACCCACAACCATAGTCACATCGCAGCCCAATGTGCAGGCTAGCAAAGATTCCAGTGACGGAGATTCAAATACCAGCCTGACTGGAGCTTCAGAGCAGCAAAAACAGACGGCCATACAGCCGCCATTATCGCCACTGCTGGTGCCGTTGATGCCGTTGACGGCCCATCTACATCCTCAGCCGTCGGCCAAGTCGCAGCCATCGGCGGCGTCGGGAAATCGCAGCTTCGACACGTGCCAGAAGTGCACCCAAAGCGAGCCAAAGCGTGGCTCCGGACACAAGAGTAACTTCCTCACATGCAAGAGTTGCTCCATGAAATGTAAGTATTAGTTTTATAATTCTAAGAATTTGAGAAAATTTTCGGCGACGCCGAAAGTTCTTCTTCTTCTTCTTCTGTGCTTCTTCTTGCTACTTTTTAGAAGCTGCCCCTTTTTCGGTCCTCCTCTTTGGTGGACATCTTCTTTGAACTTTGATATTTTTTTTTTTTTTTTGTTTTTGAAAGAAAAGTAGGCTTTTAATTTTAATTTTTAATGAAGTTTGGAGTTGAGTTGAGATCCCCGGACAAGGCAAGACCTAAAAACTGAATTTCCAAAAATAAATTTTCACCAAAAATTCAAAATTGTAACCCCTTCCCATCCAATTTAGGGCACTTTCCCTGCCTGCCTGTGGTCTTCACCAATCTGACCACCGCCCGCAAGAAGTTCAAGTGCGAGAAGTGCCGCCACTGCCAGTTGTGCGGCCAAAAGGACCAGAATTTGATCATTTGCAGCGTCTGTGTGGACGCCATTCATCCCGATTGTCACGATCCGCCGCTAGAGAACCTCAACATGGATGAGATGGATCCGAATTGGAAGTGTTCCCGCTGCCAGGCTGGCTCGTCCGAGCGCCCGGCTTCAGTATCAAAGAAGTCCAATGCCGGACGCAAGAAGCGTGTATCATCCGAGCCCACCAAGGGCAGCAAGACTGAAAAGATGGCCAAGCTGGAGCCAAAGAACGATGAGTCGGGAAAAGAAGAGCCTCCAAAGAAGGAGAAATCGAAGAAAAAGGAGTCCAGGGTTGACACTTGGATGAGGAATTTAGATATGGATATAAATGAACTAAATTCGAAAGAATCAAAAGAAAAGGCCAGGGATGAGGAACTTCCCATGATTGAAAAGATTAAGAACGAGGAATCTAAGAAAGAAAACGAGGAGCCTCGAAATGAAAATCCTCCAGATGAGCAGCCCAAGGAGAACACTGCCGTGGAAGAGCAGAAGGAGAAACCTGCCGAGAAGGAGGAGGAGGAGCAGGACAAGGAGGCTGAACAGCCAGAACAGGCCAGTCCTGAAAATAACGAAATAGAAATCAAGCAGGAGTTCATGTCATCCGGAGAGGATGACGAAGATTCAGATGAGCCCCACGACGAAGACGAGGACAGGAACATGGACCTGCTGCTGGAGCAGCTCCTTGACCAACAACAACATCAGAATGATGATCAGGCTGCTGACCAGGCCCAGCCCCTGCTCGAGTTCTCAGACGATGGCGCCGAGCCCGCCATTGAATTCCCAGACGATGGTCCCGAGCCCACCATCGAATTCCCGGAAGTTAAGACCCCGGTACGCAACCAAGAACCACCGAATGTTCGCTCATCAACACCGTTGGCTCCAGTTCCGTCTAATCCGCTGGCATTGGTGCGACCAACTCTGTATAATCCGCCGACTTTGTTGGGCGATATGCGCAACATACCGGTTTCTGCATGGACCGTGGATCAGGTGGTTAGCTATGTGGGCCGTCACTATCCGCAGGAGGCAGATGCCTTTCGCTGTCAGGACATTGATGGCGCCTCGCTGCTCCTACTGAACCGAGCCGATGTACTCCACGGATTTGGACTGAAGCTAGGACGGGCGCTGCGCGTCTTTGAATTGGTCCTGACCCTGCAGAACGGCAGCGAGGATGTGCGTCTAAGCTGGCACGACTAGAATTACCAGTGCCGGTCGCCCTAATTCGGATCCCTCCATTGCTAGCAATTAATTTAGAAGTAATTTTTTGTTTTTTTTTTTGTTTTTTCGAATCCAAATACTCTAAACTCGCGAAAATGACGAATGCTTATATTAAGTTATTGAAATGTCTTTATTTTTTTTTTATTTTTTATTAATCATTTAACCAAACCCACAAGGGAGAAACACATGAAGTCTTTAAACATTTAAATGTTTTTGAAATATTTTAATTTGTTAATTTTAATTCCAAAAAAAAAAAAAAAGAAAAACAACGAAAAAATTACTCATCAATGGGTAGACAAAAAAAAAAAAAAAACTTAATATGAGCACACACTTCGTCACTGAAAAAAAAAAATACAAACCAAAATTGGCTGTAAAATGAACTACTTTAAGTTACTTGTTAACTACACCGATACCTACCGATACTACAACTACACACACACTTCAGGAGATATAATTATAATTAAAATTAAAAAAAAAAAAAAAAAAAAAAAAAAAAAACGAAAAGCTTTATATTAAAAATGGAATATAAATATAAGCTAAGTGCCATTTTTTGTTTATAGAATTTAAAAAGACTTTAGTTTAAAATACTTTGTGTTCTTATCATTAAAAATATTATCATTAACTTACCATTATCCCAAAAAGAAGTCCCAAAGGGAGATATCGGAAAAACAACATCAACATTTTCGATTTAAATGTGTAACCAATGCAAGTCAGCATTGAAATGTATTATTTATTTTTTTATTTTGTTTTTTATTTTCCTTACTATCTTGAATGTTAAATAAAATATATCACTGAAAAATCAAAACAAAAAGAAATATTATTTGGGTGTGGGGTTTGGAAATATGGTTGAAGAAATTGTTCAAATATAAGGCACTTCTTTGAGCAGCTTTCGTCACTAAAACAATAACATATATGGGTGTAAAAAAATAAGCTTAGGCTTTGTATTTAAAATAGAATTATAAATATAGACTATTAGGTCTCTTTTTTGAGAATCGGATGAGAATTGGGAGAGATATAGCCATCACAGCGAGCCCTATAGGGGAAACGAGCATTTCCAAGGGGTCCGTCCCATCAGGAAAAATGGACAAAAAGTGGAAAAAATATTTTGTCTCTGGGTTTTGATGCAGAATGGTAGCAAATCGATCTAGAAATCGTTTAAGGTACTCCGCTTGCGAATCGGATGGGAATTGGGGAAGATATAGCCATCACCGTGGACCCTATAGGAAAAAACCGCATTTCCAAGGGGTCCCCTCAGGAAAAATGGAAAAAAAATGGGAAAAATATTTCGTCTCGGGATTTGGATGCAGAATGATAGCAAATCGATCTAGAAATCGTTTAAGGTACTCCGCTTGAGGATCGGATGAGAATTGGGGAAGATATAGCCATCACCGTGGACCCTATAGGAAAAAACCGCATTTCCAAGGGGTCCCCTCAGGAAAAATGGACAAAAAATGGAAAAAATATTTCGTCTCGGGATTTTGATGCAGAATGATAGCAAATCGATTCAGAAATCGTTTAAGGTACTCCGCTTGAGGATCGGATGAGAATTGGGGAAGATATAGCCATCGCAATGGGCCCTATAGGGGAAAACCGCATTTCCAAGGGGTCCCCTCAGGAAAAATGGACAAAAAATGGGAAAAATATTTCGTCTCGGGATTTTGATGCAGAATGGTAGCAAATCGATCTAGAAATCGTTTAAGGTACTCCGCTTGCGAATCGGATGGGAATTGGGGAAGATATAGCCATCGCAATGGGCCCTATAGGGGAAAAACGCATTTCCAAGGAAAAATGGACAAAAAATGGGAAAAATATTTCGTCTCGGGATTTTGATGCAGAATGATAGCAAATCGATCTAGAAATCGTTTAAGGTACTCCGCTTAAGGATTGGATGAGAATTAAGGAAGATATAGCCATCACAGTGGGCCCTAAGGGGAAAACCGCATTTCCAAGGGGTCCCCTCAGGAAAAATGGACATAAAATGGAAAACATATTTCGTCTCGGGATTTTGATGCAGAATGATAGCAAATCGATATAGAAATCGTTTAAGATACTCCGCTTGAGGATCGGATGAGAATTGGGGAAGATATAGCCATCGCAATGGGCCCTATAGGGGAAAACCGCATTTCCAAGGGGTCCCCTCAGGAAAAATGGACAAAAAATGGAAAAAATATTTCGTCTCGTGATTTTGATGCAGAATGATAGCAAATCGATATAGAAATCGTTTAAGATACTCCGCTTGAGGATCGGATGAGAATTGGGGAAGATATAGCCATCGCAATGGGCCCTATAGGGGAAAACCGCATTTCCAAGGGGTCCCCTCAGGAAAAATGGACATAAAATGGAAAAAATATTTCGTCTCGGGATTTTGATGCAGAATGATAGCAAATCGATTCAGAAATCGTTTAAGGTACTCCGCTTGAGGATCGGATGAGAATTGGGGAAGATATAGCCATCGCAATGGGCCCTATAGGGGAAAACCGCATTTCCAAGGGGTCCCTCAGGAAAAATGGACAAAAAATGGAAAAAATATTTCGTCTCGGGATTTTGATGCAGAATGATAGCAAATCGATCTAGAAATCGTTTAAGGTACTCCGCTTAAGGATTGGATGAGAATTAAGGAAGATATAGCCATCGCAATGGGCCCTATAGGGGAAAACCGCATTTCCAAGGGGTCCCCTCAGGAAAAATGGACAAAAAATGGAAAAAAATATTTTGTCTCGGGATTTTGATGCAGAATGGTAGCAAATCGATCTAGAAATCGATTAACGTACTCCGCTTGAGGATCAGATGAGAATTGGGGAAGATATAGCCATCACCGTGGACCCTATAGGAAAAAACCGCATTTCCAAGGGGTCCCCTCAGGAAAAATGGACAAAAAATGGGAAAAATATTTCGTCTCGGGATTTTGATGCAGAATGGTAGCGAATCGATCTAGAAATCGTTTAAGATACTCCGCTTGAGGATCGGATGAGAATTGGGGAAGATATAGCCATCGCAATGGGCCCTATAGGGGAAAACCGCATTTCCAAGGGGTCCCCTCAGGAAAAATGGACATAAAATGGAAAAAATATTTCGTCTCGGGATTTTGATGCAGAATGATAGCAAATCGATTCAGAAATCGTTTAAGGTACTCCGCTTGAGGATCGGATGAGAATTGGGGAAGATATAGCCATCGCAATGGGCCCTATAGGGGAAAACCGCATTTCCAAGGGGTCCCCTCAGGAAAAATGGACATAAAATGGAAAACATATTTCGTCTCGGGATTTTGATGCAGAATGATAGCAAATCGATATAGAAATCGTTTAAGATACTCCGCTTGAGGATCGGATGAGAATTGGGGAAGATATAGCCATCGCAATGGGCCCTATAGGGGAAAACCGCATTTCCAAGGGGTCCCCTCAGGAAAAATGGACAAAAAATGGAAAAAAATATTTTGTCTCGGGATTTTGATGCAGAATGGTAGCAAATCGATCTAGAAATCGATTAACGTACTCCGCTTGAGGATCAGATGAGAATTGGGGAAGATATAGCCATCACCGTGGACCCTATAGGAAAAAACCGCATTTCCAAGGGGTCCCCTCAGGAAAAATGGACAAAAAATGGGAAAAATATTTCGTCTCGGGATTTCGATGCAGAATGATAGCAAATCGATCTAGAAATCGTTTAAGGTACCCCGCTTGAGGATCGGATGAGAATTGGGGAAGATATAGCCATCGCAATGGGCCCTATAGGGGAAAACCGCATTTCCAAGGGGTCCCCTCAGGAAAAATGGACAAAAAATGGAAAAAAATATTTTGTCTCGGGATTTTGATGCAGAATGGTAGCAAATCGATCTAGAAATCGATTAACGTACTCCGCTTGAGGATCAGATGAGAATTGGGGAAGATATAGCCATCACCGTGGACCCTATAGGAAAAAACCGCATTTCCAAGGGGTCCCCTCAGGAAAAATGGACAAAAAATGGGAAAAATATTTCGTCTCGGGATTTTGATGCAGAATGGTAGCGAATCGATCTAGAAATCGTTTAAGGTACTCCGCTTGAGGATCGGATAAGAATTGGGGAAGATATAGCCATCGCAATGGGCCCTATAGGGGAAAACCGCATTTCCAAGGGGTCCCATCAGGAAAAATGGACAAAAAATGGGAAAAATATTTCGTCTCGGGATTTCGATGCAGAATGATAGCAAATCGATCTAGAAATCGTTTAAGGTACTCCGCTTGAGGATCGGATGAGAATTGGGGAAGATATAGCCATCACTGTGGACCATATAGGGAACTATATCATATAGGTATCCTATAACTGAAAAATCGGAATAACTGAATATTCGTTATTTGGTAAAAATACTAACTTTGGTATTTTTAAAGATTGAAGCTTCGAATTTTTGTTTAAGTTTTGTATTCTAATATTAGGTTTTATAATAAAATTCTTATAAGGATCGTCGCACTATATGCGATAAATATTCAATCTTAACTGAAAGAGTATTCAACTTCGGCTCCTTTATTGTTTTTTTAATAAAAAAAACACCCAAAATAAACCAAAAATACATCCAAACTTTATATTTTACATATTTTTTCGTTTTTTTATTCAAACAATTTGAAAAAAAGGTGTTGAGAATTGGCAAAGATCACATTTAATTTAGTGTTATTGCTCATAAATTATTATTTGTAGTTTATCCCCAAAAAAAATTAAAAAATAAAAACAGGGGTATATTGCTTTCAAAATTAAATAAACAAAATTACATATTAAAGATACAAAAAGATCGAAGAACAATTTCAAGCCAATTATTTTCTTAAAAAAATCGACAATCACAAAGGTGACGAATGTATTGTATATTACAAAAAAAAAACGAGATATTTTTCACAGGCTGTCTGAATAAATTGGAGTTTTTCAAGAGATTTCTAAACAATTTGTAGTTATTAGATCCTAATTAGATTTTAACTATATTTTAAGATATATATTAATTAATTTTTTACAGCGACAACCACTCTAGTTTCTCGTTTCTTTCGTTACTGGCCTTGAAAATGTCCAGAGATGGATTCTTTGCATCCAATTATCAAAAAAAATAGATCTATATATACTATATATAGATAGTATATAGTATATGGGTATATACATTACAAACACACACGAAGCACACACACACATCAGGGGGGAGGACACCACCCATCCTTAGGTGGGTTCTTCTTTTTTTTTTTTTTTGTGAAATATCAAGTACAAGTTGGTGTTTTTTTTTTTGGACAAAATACTGTTGACAGGGTCCTGGGCGAGGAGACGTACTAGACGCGCGGCAGTAGCTTCTCCTCATCACCGCTGGGACCCTGCATACTAGTTGGCTTCGAGCCTTGCTTGGAGGGATCATAGCCGTAGAGGAAGATGGAGGCTATGACGAGGGCAGCTCCAAAGCTGAACTGCAGCGTGAGATTAAAGTCAAAGATATAGATGGAGGCCACGCACGAGATGATGATGGCCAGCGAGGTGGCGAATCCCTTGAGGATATTGTCCGCATACTTGACCACCACGGCGACGATGAGTCCACCGCCCGCCTGCAGGAGCACCAGATACCAAACGAACACATCGTAGCCATGGAAGAAGCCCCTGTCGTAGATCCGTCCGGCGTCGTTCACGAAGCAGGTGAGCAGCCCGAAGGGAATGCTCAGAAGGCTGAGCTGGACATTCCGCATCCATACAGAGATCTCGGCACCCTTCAGTATCTTCTCGAAGTAGATGCCCGCAAAACCGGAGAGGAAGCACGCTCCCAGGGCGGCCCACAGTCCCAGCATGCGGTTCTGTTCGGGGCCACCGGCCGATCCAGCTGATCCTCCAGCGGCGGGCGAGGAGGTGCCACCACTACCACTACTTCCACTCGCCGGGCCATCTGTCTGGGCCAGCTGGACCAGGACAATGCCCATTACGAGCAGCAACAGAGCACCCCACTGGGTGTTGAGGAGTTTCCGGCGCAGGATCACCACCGCGAACATGGCCGTGGTGAGGATCTTCAGCTGATAGGTCACCTGGTAGGTGGCCGCGTCCAGGTGCGATGCGGAGACATAGAGCAGGTTGTTCTGGACGATGTAGACGAGCGAGGGGACGCACACCTTCAGCGTGTCCACAGGATTGGCGATGATCGTCCTGTGCAGCGATCGGATGAACTTCTGGGCGTCTTTGCCCTCCTCGTTGAAGACCAGGAACAGGCAGGTGATCAGCTTGGCGAACTCGGCCATCAGCACGGCTAGAAAACAAGGCCGTAAGATAGTGTTTTGGAGATAAAAGCCTTCACCACAGGTGGAGGGGAATGGCCCACAAAAGTGGGAAACATAAAAATAATAAACCTATGGCGCAATTAGAGATTATACCCAATGGGAATTCTAGTTACCCCAGGCCCCGAACTCGAACTGGAGGCACTCGAAGAAGGCCTCGTCATATTGTATTTAAAGAGCTCCTATCAGAGATCTCGAAGAAATTTATAATCTTTCTAATTTCTTTGATTAATTAAAGTAGCGGCTTGCTATAAGAAGAATTAAGTTTTTTGAGAAGAAATAATTTTAAGGGAATGAAATACTAGGTAATTTTATAGATTGGTCTTTCTGGAGGTCTCTCTATAGGTCAACATTCCATATGGAATCTATAAGAAGAATAAATACTTTAAGCAATGTTGGGGGTATAGTATTCAGTTCTATAGGCAGGTCTTATGTTACTATGGGTCTATCTATCTATAAAGACCTTACTATAGAAATACTTATATAGACCTTAGCTATGGACCTTAAGGAGTTTTGGGTCTATAATACTAATAAGTTCTATAGAATGACTAGATCTATGACTAGGTCTCTCTAAGTAATTATAATTTCTATATAAAATATAATTTCTAAAAATCTATTTACTTTCTTTCATACTATTTATATAAAATAATAATTTTACTATATAAAATATAATATATTTAACCAGTTTCACCACCAGTATTGGTGTATAATACTCCGATTTTCTTTGAGTCTATCTATATAGTCTAGATCTAGATCTATAAGTATAAAGACTTTTTCTTTAAAAAATTCCATAAAATACCTAAGATGAAATTTTTTTTAAGAGCTTTAAAGGTATAATACTAATATGCTCTATAAAATGGCTTATAAGTCTTAAATCTAGATCTATAAATCGATAGGCTTTTTCTACTTTGTATAAAATAAGAGCCTAGAAATATCTTCAAAACCCTAGAATAGCTACAAATAACTATCTGATTATATGGATACTAGAGTAAAGTATAATATTCTATCTATAAAGACCTTCACTAGCCTCCATAATATCTCCAAAGACCTCCATTATCCATAGACCTTCCATCGATAATATCTTAAAAGTCTTCATTAGCCTCCATAATCCCAACCTTTGTGCCAAAATAAACATAATAACAAATCTGAAATCTAAAACCAAGTCAAGATCTATATAGTATCCTCTTAAGGAACTAATTTACTTTAAATATTCCATTGATTTCCCTAAAAAAAATCCTAAATAATCATTATAAATGTGAAAAAGAATTAAGATCTATATAGTATTTTCTAAATACTCTGATTTCTACTTACTAAAAACTACAAGACTCTTTTAAGAATACATCTACTTTAAAGTATTCCATCTAGTCCTCAAGAAAAATCCAGAAGAATCATTATGAATCTAAAACAATATCAATATTACAATATAGACCTTTAAAGACCTATAGATACTTTCCTTTTTAAATGCTTTAGACCTTTTAAATAGACCTTTTAATACTTTCCTCCAAGAACTAGGGGACTACTTATAAGTATTCTTATAAGAACTTATAAGATATTATATACCTTTTAAAGTATTCCACATTATAAAAATCATTACAAATCTGAGACAAAGTCAAAATCTATATAGTAGCCTATTAAAAAACTAATAAGTACAAATCTACATTAAAGTATTCCATCTAATCCTCAAATAAAGTCTATAAGAATCATTATAAAACTGAAACTGAGTCAAGATCTTTATAATATCATTCATTCTTCACATTCTTTCATACTACTTCCTAAAAATCTAAAAAATATAATTAGAAAATATATATATTTTTAGATACTATATATAATTCTCAAAAAAAAGCCTAATAAAGTTAAAACTATAGTCAAGATCTTTATACCATTCTCACAATACTGTTATTACTACTTCCTAAAGTAACAAAAAACCCGCGTTAGAGTAAATCTATAAGTACTCCCCTCTAATTCTCAATAAAAACCCAACTATATAGTCTCCCTATAATACATCCTAACATCCAATAACGAAACCTATACCCACCTACGTATAACTTTCCCATTTTATTGCAAAACCCAGCAAGCTATAGAAACCCCTACAATAAATGTCTCCGAAAACTTGAAATTTTTTATCTAAAATGTGTTTCTTCGGGCAGTAGAGTGGTGTAGGTGCCACATGCGGAAGTTCCAGTCTGCAGTCTACGCTTATCAGCTTCCTCTCCAGGCCTCCAGCGTGTACTACTCGAGCTACTAGCCTCTACTACCGGGCTTCTAGTGATGGATGGTTGATGGCTATGATGATGCCACGTAAATGGTTTAAATGCCAGGTGATAGCCAGGTGGCTCGTGCATGACCCCTGGATGAACTCCACGGACACATGACACCTCATTCGCTTTCTCTCTCTCTCTGACCAACTCACCTGTGGAACTGAGAAAGATGTCACCGGGCCGGGTCCTGGCATACCGCATACTGAGTCCCAGGATGGCATTCTGGAGCGTCAGAGTCAGCAGGCTGACGTACTTGAGGGTATTGGTGTTCACTGTGGGGCGATAAGAGATGGGTGCGGGTAGCAGCATTTTACGGACATGTGTGTCTCAGTCTTGGATTGAATGCCAACTAAATGCTTGGTTTGCTTTGGAGCTAAAAGAGCTCTATGATCTATGATCTATGATCTACTCCTACTCACTGTGTATGTTCATTGTGATTTTGGGATTTCGCTCTCTTGGATCTCGGATATACCAGCGCAGCTGTGCCCACTTTGGGGGGGGTGGTAGTACAAACAAAATAGACCAAACAAATAGAGTTGGTTTTTCTTTTTTTTTCAGCCAGCAACTTTTTTTCAGTTTTCAGTTTTATTTTGTTCCTCGTCCCGGGTTAACGGTACTTGCTGTTGCCGGGACTAACGGTTGTTGGCTTTCCTATCCTTTCTGGTTATCCTTTCGATGAGAAGAAAGCGTCCCGCTTTCTGGCAATCGGCTTCAGCGGCAGCGGCGGCGGCGGCGGACACGTAAACAATAATCTGTGGGGGCCCTGGAGCTTCGGCAGAGCTGCGACTGAGGGCAGCGAACAGTGGTGCTGCTGCTGAGGCAGAGGCGGCGTTAAAGAAGAAGAGCCAACCCAGCGGCAAGTTTTTATCGGCCATTCGGCTTTTTTTTCTTGTTCTTCTTCTTGTTGTTGTTGTTGTTTTTGTTATTGTGCTGTTATTGTTATTGTTCAAGTTCGATAACAATTGCATGTGCACTGGAGATGGCACGAACACGAACTAGGGGCGTGATAATCGGTTAAAAAAAAGGCAAAGTTTCGAAATATGAGCAGATCTTTGAACTTTTTGAAGGTTTTTAAAAAAAAAAGAATTACTTTTTAGGGTGAAATTTTAAATCTTGTCTAAAGATTTTTTTTTTTTAAATTAAAAAAACTTTTTATTTATTTAAAAAAAAACTCTCTTTTTAAGCTCAAATTTTAAATCTTGACAAAAAACCTCTTTCCTTCAAATCTAATTTTTGTATTATTGTTTACAAACATAACCATGCTGCCCTTTTGAATTAAAAATTAGGTTCAGGGAATCTATTAAATAGCTTCTATTTAACCAGTTGGCTCTAAAATTGTTTGTTTTGTGGAGGGAATACACAAACGTGACCTCAAGAAAATAATCGATTTTAAACAAATAAAAACAAACAAATAAAAAAAAAAATGAATATTTAAAAAAAAAATAAGTCCTATATTGACCTTCAAATCTTTATATTTATTCAACCGGCTATGTTTTTATGTTTAATTAGGTTTTTTGTTTGTTTTTTTTTTTGAAGCTTTCCCGTTTTCTGTTAGAGATGACACTGATCAGCTGTTTTATGCGATAACCGGCTGCTCATCGCTAGTGCCTCAGTTATCGATAACTGATAACAGCCGTGTGGCATATTTACGAAAACAAGTTGGTAATTTTTGTGGATTATTGTGAAAAGCAGAGCTACAGACGGGTTCAAAATGAAGGAACAGCCGCTGAAGGAGGTCACCCAGCTGATCCACGCCATCAAAGTGGGGTAAGGATATCGCAATACCCAGAAATTAAAGGATAATTAGCATGGATGTTATGATTTGCAGCCTGGTCGAAGGTTCCTATAGCATCACCAACAAGACCCTGGACATCTTCAAGTACATAATCATGAGCAAGAGCTGGCAGAATGCAGAGTAAGCTGATCGCAGGATAGTACTATATAGTACAGGATAGTACGATCTATATGTACCTCTTCTATATTTCCAGCGCCCTGATGCAAATAGTTCGCGCCCAGTGCCGCATCCTGCAGGCTGCCTTGCCCCAGGAAACGGTTACCTCCAATATTGCCCGCCGCATACTCAAGCTGACACGCGAGGAGTTCGACCTGTTGCAGGCCAAGGTCCAGCACTTTGCCGACGACTCGCAGGCCTCCCTGTCGCTCCATAAACTGGTCACCCAGACCAGCGAGAGCAACGTCAGTGTGGACTACTCGGTGCCGCAGAAGGGTTTGCGCGAGGCGCTGCTCGATCATCTGCAGGAGGTGGAAACGGAGCTGGAGACCAGCTCGGAGAATATTTGTGTCCAGGCCGAGGAGCACATACATTCGTCGGAAATCATCCTGACGCTGGGTCACTCGAGATCCGTGGAGAACTTCCTGAAGCGGGCGATCAAGAAGCGTCAGTTCCTCACCATCATTGTGGCCGAATGTGCGCCGGCCTCACGAGTGGGTTATCTATCCTTCCAAAGGTGTCTTCTCCAACCTCTCTAACTGCTATATATCCCATTTCAGGGCCACAATCTGGCTGCCAGCTTGGCGGGTGAAAAGAATGTTGAGATTATCGTCATCCCGGATGCGGCCATCTTTGCGATGATGTCGCGGGTCAACAAAGTGATCATCGGCACCCACAGTGTCCTGGCGAATGGTGGCCTGAGAGCGGCATGCGGCGCCTACACAGTGGCCCTGGCGGCCAAACACTACTCGGTGCCCGTCATCGTCCTGGCGCCAATGTACAAGCTGTCACCGCTACATCTCTGCGAGCAGGATGCCTTCAATATGGTGGGCTGTGCCGAGGATGTGATACCCTACGACTCGATACCGGCACGAGAGGCCAAAGTCTACAGTCCCATGTTCGATTATGTGCCGCCCGAGTTGGTGACCCTTTTCATATCCAATACGTGAGTGGTTGTCCCTCCATTTCTGAGGTTTTCTATATAATTCTATATGTCCTTTAGTGGTGGCCACGCCCCATCGTATGTCTACCGGCTACTGACGGAACTGTATCATCCTGAGGATCTGGAGATCTGAGTTCTGTCTGTCCAATAAAGGCTGTCGTCTCTCACACACCCTGGAGTTGAAGGACATGAATACTTTACATCAAAAGAGGATACTTTAAGGACACTATTAACTTTTAAGCTCAACAATTTTATTGCAAAGATTGTATAGTTTGTTCAGTTGATGACCTTTTTATAACATTTGTACTTGCTAGTTTGAAATATTAGTGTTTGTATTAACGGTGGCTTCGGTTCGGCTTCTGTTCCTCCTCCGAAAAGACAAGGACAGATGGAGGAGACTACTGCAGGTTCTTCAGCAGCTGCGTGAAATCCGCCAAGCTATCGGCATAGTAGTCCGGTTGGGACTCCACGGGGGCGTTGAGCATGTCCTCCTTGGTGAGGCAACCGCTTAGGACGAGCAGCGACTGGAAGCCACAGGACTTGCCAAACTGCACATCCTGGACGAGGGTGTCCCCAATGAAGATGCAACGCTTCGGCTCCCCAATCTCGAACATTTCGCCAAACATCTCGCCGAGAATGGGCGACGGTTTGCCCAGGAATGTGGCCTCCCGGCCAGTATAGCGCTTCACATGCTCCAGAAAATCAAAGAATCCGGCCACATTGAGATTCTCCGCCAGCGGCATAATCACATCACTGCCACCGGCAATTAGCTTGCAGTCGGGATTCTCCTGCAAGTGACGAATGGCCTTGGCCAGCTCCACATACGACATGTCCAGGTGGATGTCGAACAGGACAGCACCCACGGGCTTCTCAATGGCCAGGTAGTCCACCAGTGTGGCGGCCGTCAGGTGCTCCTTGATGTTCTACTTGCGGAATATCCAATAAATTATTATTAACTATTTTTAGCTTGAAGGACAGTCAAGGACCCACCAGGGACTCGTATTCGATGTTGTGCTTACGCAACGTTTCATTCGCCTCCAAGGACATGAGGGAGTAGACCCTCTCGCCGGGATTATGCTTCTGCAGGTAGCGAACTATGGTCTTCACCGGATGAACGACATCATCCTCGTGGACATTCTCAGCGCCGATGTATCGGAACTTCTCCATGTAGTCCGCCTCCGAACGGAAGCTATTGTTGGACACGAATTTGATTTGCTTGCCGGCTGCTTTGAGGGCATTGACAGCCGCACCCGTGCCCGGTATCCAGCCAACCAGGAGCCAAACGACGCCATCACAATCGCTGATGACCAGGTCAAAGGAGTCGATGAACTGGCGCTGCTCCTCGAGGCTCAGCTTGAGGATGTGACGTGGTGCCATGTCGAATGTCGGGATGTCGGGATGCTGGAAGTGTTGCGCGCGCACCGAAATTCGACAGCGAACTAAACGTCGGTAGTCGTTGCCATAACCGGCATTTAACCTTCAATGTCAACGCATTGACATTGGTTCTCCTCCTCCTCCACCTGCTCCTCTTGCTGTGGAGGGGCCTCCTCCTCCTCCTTCTAGTATCTTTGATTACACGATTTAGACGACTAACTAACCCGAGCCGAGTGGGCTTCTCCGATAAGATTTGGTATGTAAATAGATGCCACCTCTTTGGGTAGCCACTCGGCGGGGGCGGGATGGAGGAGGTGGATCTTGGGATTCCATAAAACGGAATGAGTCTGCACAAAGAAATCTAAAAAGTAAACGAATCGTTTGTCTCGCGTCGCGAATTATTTCCTCAAAGAGGGTTTATCTCTTTTTTTGAAGGAAATTTTCTTCTTTAAAGATTTAATAATTTTAGTTTTTTTTAACCATAAAGTTAGTTAGAAAATCTTAGTAAAACAAACTAATTGAATGAAATACATCCATCTTTTTAATGGTTAACTTTCGAGATACTTTTTTCGAGGCACGAGTTCGAAACTTTAAGAAAGGTTTTGATTTTTTGCAGAATTTATAAAGAAAGTATTTTAAAAAATGCTTAAAAATATATTTTTTTAGAACATTTTTTACCATTTTACAAGTATAATTTAACGAAAGTTAGGTATAAGAGCCTTAAATATATAAAAACATTGAAAAAAAAAACTGGAAAAAATACTTTTCCTTGAAACTTTTATTTTAAATATTATTTAAGACTTGAAATCTTAATCAAACAAAATTATGGTAGATCATAATTATTTATTGACCTTTAATATATAATTTTAAAATATAAAATACCCATATTTTAAGCCAAAAATATTTTAAAAGACCGGTAGTATCTGCAAAATACCTGTAGAATATCCTGTAGAATTTTACTTAAAAGTTTCTTATTTAAGTAAGAAATTTAAGAAGTTTTAAGATTTTATATTTAAAATTATATTTTAAGCAAGACTTAAAGAATTGTATAAGTAAGTATTATTTAAGTAAACTAAATCAGTGCCTAAAATATTGAAAAACCAGAAAGAAAATGTAAAAAAAAATACTTTTTCTTTAAAACTTTTATTCTAAAATTAGTTTTCTTTATTTAAAAACCCAAAATCTTTAATAAAAAATATAAACATCGAATTTATATTAAAAATATACCTTTAATTTATAAGTTTAGAATATAAAAATACATATATATTATTTGTAGAACATCGTTATTATATCTTGTATCTGGTATATCTTGTATCTGGTTATAATACCTGTAGAATATCGATTAGTGCCTTGGCATTTTTGTTTACATCGTCGAATGTTGTTGTTGTTGTACTCATCGTACTTATAACTATTACATGCCCCAACAACTACAGTGAGCACTCGAGCCAGCGACTATCTAATAAATTATAATTAGAATTGTGTCTTTTTGGTCGTGGGTTGCATGACCCATGTGATACTCCTACAGCTTATATCTTATCTGGGGTCTATAAATGTTTATATTATTTATAAGAATTATGGGCTTTTATTTGTCTAGTTTGGCAGTACACTTGAAAAAAAAAACTAGTAGGAATATTTATAGAATAAGAGACTTTGAGAAAACTAAAGAGAATAAAACCAAGGGCCATTTTACTTTTAAAAAACATTTTATTTTTAATTTTTAAGCTTAAATTTAGGTTCTTAAATATATATAACAATATTTTTAATAATTGAAGTTAAAAATATTAAAGAAAATAAATAAAATTAAATAGAAAATGACTTTTTCTTGAAGTTTTTTAGTTTTTTTTTAAGAAAAATAGACAAAAATGGAGAAAAAATCATCATAAAACGTTATACTTTGCTATAAACGTGATTGCTTTGTAGATATTTTAAAGAAATGGCTTTTAAAAATGTTACTTTTTAAAGAAAAACTAAGTTTTTGAAACAAAATGTTCTCAAAAAACGGTTCTAGAAAAATAAAATACTTTAAAATGAATTAGAAAACTCGTAAAAATACTACATTACAAAGGTCTATCGTTAAAAATAGGTTTTTTAAAACAAAAATAGAAGTTTTTTATTAAAAATACCTAAAAATGGACTGTAAGACTAGTAGAACTACTACCTTTTAAAGAGATTTATTAAAAATGAAACTTTAATTAGACAACTAAGATAATTACCACTTTTTAAAAGGATATCTTAAAAAAAATAGGTGGTTTTGAAGCAAAAAAACTTAAAAACAATAAAAAGCACATATTTTTTAGTTAGGAAACAGTTAGGGATTCAAAAACAACCATAAATATTATATTTGATTATATTACATGATATTTTGCAAATATATGATTAATTTATAGATCTTTTAAGAAGAGATCTTGAATAAAAGGAATTTAAAAAAAAAAAATGAAGTTTTAAATAAAAAATATTAAAAAAATATAAAAACCCACGAATTTCTTTCCTTTAAAGCAAAACTTTCTTCTAAGAAAAGTAGGGGACTTGAAAACTACCATAAAAGATGATATAATGCCAATTTATGACTAATTTATAGATCTTTTAAAAAGAAATCTTAAAAAAAAAGGAATATTTTTAAATAAAAAATGAATTTTTTAATAAAAAAAATACCCCAAAAAAGGATGAAGAACCCACCATTCTTTTCTTTTTTAACGAAATTTTCGTTTAATAAAAGTTAGACCACCTTAGGGAGTCTCTACTGTGAAGAAATAGCCACCACCCTCGAGCCACACATCAACACCTTGACATTGATTGCTGCACCAGTTTGTGGCCCAAACGGACAGGGAATAGGGCCAAAAGGGGAAAAGAATAATGGCTAAGAAGGCAAAGGAAACCACAAATGGCCAATAATTCAGATTCAAATAGAACATTTCAACCCGGAGGTTAGCAGTGTCCGGAAGATACGAGTCCGTAATAGACGATAGTAGTACTTGATATATACTGCTCTTCACTGGATGGGTCCCGACTATACTAATACTATACATGGTAGTGTGGTAGTGGTGTGTGTGGGTCTAGACTCTGGAGGGTATCGATTGCCAGGCCAGGCCAGTTAGTTTAGTTAGGCGGTCTCTCGCGGCTGATAAGATACGGAGAGGGGACTGTGTGCCAAGTTTTTCAAAGAGCTGGAAAGACTGTATATTCTGGCCACCGAGCATTGAGGAACTGTCCGTCCCACACGCCCCACACACGGTTATACAATTTAGTGGAAAATATGGCTGATAGTAGCACTCTGGAAGCGGATCCCGGCCAGCTCAAGATACTGGGCCAACTGAAGACCATCGAACAGATCAACGAGCAGCGTCGTATCTTCCTCAATAGCACCATAAACGAGGAGGAGAAACCCAACCAGGAGAATGGTAAACTGGAGAATGGCAATGGGATTAAGAAGGAAGTGGAGCTTGAGAAGAACCTCAAGGATCTGGAAGAGATTCCCCAAAAAGAAGAGGAGAAAGTAGAGAAGAAAGAGGAGGAGAAAGTGGAGGAAAAGGTCGTGGAACCCCCCAAACCCCAGCCACCAACTAGCCTCAGCCTGAACGTCAAGTACGCCACCTTGCCCAGTCCCAGTGTGGTGACTCTGCGATCTCCACTCTCCCCGCCGCCCAAGCCACCCATGCTCTCCCGCACCCGTAGCATCGGCTCTGGGGATGGCAAGAGTCCCTCCACCAACGGAGGTAGCTTCACGCCCGACTCCAACTCCCTGCTCCGGCAAAGTCTAACCGAAGGAGTGGTCATCGACACCAACAGACTATCCGGATCGCCCACCAAATCCGTAACATCGGGAGGAACCGTAGCGGACACCTCCTCTGTGGATGATTCAACGGCCACCATATCCTCGCGGCACTACGAGGGCCTGATCGAGGAGCTGCGCTGTCCGGGCTGTGCCGGGGCCATGAAGGCGCCCGTACTCCTCTGCAAGAGCGGTCATAGTGTCTGCGAGCAGTGCACCCGGATACTCCTCATGTGCCCACTGTGCAAGGTAATAATTGACGTCAAAAGCGGGGCAATATCGGTCCGGGCCAAGTTATCAATAACCGACCATTCTTAAAGACCTTATCTAGTGACGTCCGAAGTAAGTAGAAAACTAAACAGAAATTAGCCGGAGATTGACATCATCCAGGGAGGAGGACTAGGACTAGGAGAGGGTTCTCTAATCAATTCTAGAGAAGAGTCACTATCTGACGGTCTGGAAATTATGATATAATGACCTTGTCCGGTTGTCGGTCTATTTTTGGGTTATAGAACCTCAGAACTGGTAGTATCTGGCTTTAAAAAGCTACTATAATGTCTAAAGATCTGTCTAAAATTTAAATCTGGAGATAGTTCTTTGTCAGATACTCTATAAACTATGATATTATGACCTTTTCCGTCTGTCCGTTGCTCTATTTTTGGGTCATGGAACCTCAAAACTATATAGAACTGGTGATATCTGGTTTTTGAAAAGAGTTCCATCCAATCAAAGACCTAGACCTATTTTTTAAAACCCCATCCTCTGCCACTTCACCAGGAACCCTTCACCACCGCCCGCTCCCTGACCGTGGAGGCGTTATGCGCCAAGGCGCACTTCCGTTGCGGCCACGCCTCCGGCGGCTGCCAGGTGCGAATGCCAGTGGTGCTGCTACCATGGCACGAACAGCAGTGCATCTACAAGCCGATGAAATGCTTTATGGGTCGGGTGTGGGGCGAGTGCCGGTGGCAGGGACGCGAAGTCCAGTGGAAGGAGCATCTGGAGGAGCAGCATGCCGATCGGCTGTTCCGGGCCAGCACCGCGGATCTGGTGTGGGAGATGGCGGTGCGGAGGAAACCGCTCACGGGCTACTATGTCTTCCAGGCCCACGATGAGATGTTCAACTTTTATGAGATCCATGATCGCCAGCGTATCCTGTTCACCATGACCTGCACCTCGAACCGAAGGGACAGCAAGTACAACTATGCCTACGAGGTGACTATCCTGCATCCGGATAATGAGGCACTGTCCATGACCCAGAAGTTTCCGGTGCACAGCGAATACGACAAGGACATCCTGCTGGAGGGCACTTGTGTCAGCATACCACTGACGGATCTGACACGATTTTTGGATCAAGATAAGGTAAGATCTTTAGGAAGATCATATATATATTAAGATCTTAATAATAAGGATAGGAATAAGGACTCTAGGGAGATAGGATCTCTTAAAGCTTCTTATAATTTAAAGATTTAATTTTAAGAGATAGAAACTCATACATTTTATATATATCTACCATCTTATCAAGCATTATTTCATCAAATCAATCAGTAGATATTTTCGGACAGTGTATCTGCATTTCTATTCCCGAGAATGAGACCCACAAGTTCTCTAGAAAATAAATTTGCACATTGATAAGAAATATCACCCATTATCTGGAAATAAATATTGAAGCTAATCAGGTACACTTGGTGGTAAAAATACATTTTTATTCTTTTTTTTTTACCACATTCGGGAATTAATTTATGACGAAGAGAAATAATTTTCTTAAAGTTTAAATAAGGGATAATTTAAAAAATTAATTATAAAATCGAAAAAAAGATCAATCCACTTACATATTACATAGTTTTTACATCCATTTTTATGTAAAATTTACATTTTTACATTCCATTATACTCCTTTCATTAACATTCTGTTAACTATGGCTAACGGTACTTTTGGCAATGCTGGGGGCTCCGCAGGACGCTCTTAGACACATACACAGACACACGCGAGAGGAAGCACTTGACATGAATTGCATTTTATTTTAAAAACTCAGGATATATTTTTTAGGAAATTGATCTAGGACTTTATTTATCACACTTGCAACACTGTTTTAACGACGCAAACGACATTTTAAAATTACAAACACTCTTAACCGGCACCCCGCCACTTGCACTAACTTTTTCTTAGTTAGTTTTTCCATTAAAGATAACCATATCAAGGATATATTTAGTTAAAACTAAGCACAAACCACAAAAAAAAAACATAAAACGCGGAAAAACCGCCACGAATGGCAGAGCGAAAGAAAGAAACTGAAAAGTGATCGGTAAACAGGAAAGAAGCAGAAAAGAGAAAGGCTTAACAGAAGTCCTGTAACAGAAGGCTTCGCGCGTTTTCCAACACTACTCAGGTGTTTAAAAGAATTTTAAAATTTAAAATTATGAACTTTTTAATAATTAATAAATTAACTCCTTTATTTAATTTAATTACTTCCAGCAGATCCTTCACTATCGCGTCAATGTCCTGGAGGTCAAGTCACCACGTCGGGCGAAACCTCCACGCCAGAGTCTTCCGCCCCAGCCGGTGGACTACGATGCCACAAAGATAGTTGGAGTGAATGGCAAGAGTGTGCCCACCAGCATGATCATCACCCGCACCTACAAGGAGGCCATGGGTGAGGTGTTGGCTGCCGAAACACCCACAGAGGGCACTTCCTCCTCTACCAATCCCGAGGAGGAGACACCGGAAATCGAGAGGAAATGGGGAACACCGCAATTGCATTTCAATCGGAAATATCTGAGAAATACTCTTAATGATGCTGGCAATACGCCGGATCAGGATGAGCTGCGTCCGCTGGCCAGTGATGTTCTCAGGAACGGAAATGGCGATGACAAGCTATCCCTGTGTAGCAACAGTACCAGTTATACGAAAAAGGTATCCGATACGTTGCGAAAGAGCTTCCGGGCCTTAAAGGCGGACATTGTGGAGATGCGTCCCTTTTCGAAAAAGTCCTCCAAGGGTTCCATAACAAGTCCTGGACCCTCATCGCCAGTTCAGGCCAATGGTAACTAGTGATTCCATATATTTTTCCTTCAATTTTTTTTTTCTATGTTCAGATTTACGATAAAAAATATTAAAAAAAATAAATTAAATAATATATATATAAATTATAAGGTCACACTATTATTATAACGGTGTATGAAAGTGAGTTTTGGCCACACTATGGATCTAGAATTTGTTAGGTATTTTTTTTTTATTAAATCTAATTTAAACATAATTTTTGCATTCCAATCTTTTCGACAAAAAAAAAAAATGATCGTCCAAGAAATGCATTTTTGGGTGCTCTTGACTTTTTTTTTCTAGGACTTAGACTAAAACAATTTACAGCCAGATCCGCATCCAGAGCCGTTGCCAGGACGTGGGCTACAACAGGCCCTGCATTTCGTTCATGAACTGCAGATAGGCATCGTCCTTGGTCGGTGGCTTGCTGTGTCCCCCCTCCGACTGGCCGTGATTGGAGTCTCCGGATGCATGTTTCGGTCGCGCCGAACGCCGCTGATCCTCTCGCTTCACCCGCAATGTGGAGGGCACAAAACGGGTCACATCTGCGCTTAGATTCCTACGCAAAAAATTAAATATAAAAATTAAGAAAAAGTCTAAAATTTAGAGAAAAATATTTAATGACAAACCTAATTTGTGGCTTGGCTGTAATGGTGGTCACGCCCTTGGCCGAGTCCTTGGGTGGACCCGAGCCTGGACCACCACCTGTTCCTCCGATGCCCGGTTTGTTGTGATGCGCCATACGGGGTGGTAGTCCCGGTGGCGGACCCGGCGGCATGCGAATGCCCATGCGTGGTATTGGTCCTAGATGTGGTGGTCGTGCGCCGGGCGGTGGTCCCGGTGGCATGCGCATGCCGAATCCGGAGCCCGAGTGCGGCGGACGCATGGGCGGCGGGCGGTACATAATGCCCGGTGGTCCGAGATTGTGCAGCGGCGGCATTTGGGGGAGCTGGGGTGGCGCGGGCACGGAGGATGCCGGTGGCAGGGGAATCGCCGGCAGTGTGGGCGCCGTCGGAGGAGCGGGAGCTGGCTGGATGGGTGCAGAGCTGGGAGCCGGCTTGGGTGGAGCTGCTTTGGGCGGCGGTTCGGACATTTCCTCGTCCTCATCCGGATCATCGTCCTCGTCGTCACTGTCGCTGCTGCTTACAGACTTTTTGTCCTTCTCCGGGTCATCGTGCTCGTCGTCCTCATCGTCATCCTTGTCCGCCTCATCGTCATCATCATCATCATCATCTTCCGGAGCGGCCAGCTTGCGATGCTTCCGCTTGTGTACGTGTTCCATTTCCTTCATAAAATCATCGATGTTTTGTGTACTGGGCTCTGAAGCCTCCTTATCCTTGTCCTTGCTCCTCTTCAGCTTATCGCTGTGCTCCTTCTCCCTCTCCTCCTCCTCGGCCTCGCCGTCGTAGTCCGTATTGCCCTCGGCATCCGAGTCCAGTTCGGCCATGGCGAACAAGTCGGGCGGCGGGCCTGGCGGTACACCCAGCCAGTCCTCATCGTCTTTGGATTTCTCTGGTGGCCCTTCGCTGGCATTCAGTTCGCTATTTTTGGCCACACCCGGCGGAGCGCCAGGAGCATAGGGCGGCAGTGCCATGGTCATCGGAGGTGGGGGAACTCGTATACCGGTGGCACCACCAAAGCTGCCACCGGCTCCGGGCCCACTTGGCACCGGGGCAGCACCACCCGATGCGGCGGAGCTAACAGGCGCTGGCAGGGGAATTTCATCGACCTGAACGCTCTGGGCGTGCTTGACGCTCTCATAGTACTGCTGCTTCTTCAGGCGCTTCTTTTCGTACTCCACCTCCTTGCGTTTCAAGTCTGCCCAGTGCTCCGGCTCGTCGTTATGCTGCAGGGGATTGATTCTTTGAGGAATTAGCATTTGGGAAGGGGGAGATGAACACTTACGTATAGTCGCATGACACGGTCGAAGGTCTCCTTCAGCTTCTTGCGCTTGTCCCGCAACACCTTCTCATTAAGCGGCGATGGCTGCAGGACATTGTACTCTAAAAAGCGGAGTAAGTTGCTCAAAAGTGGAAAAAACTCATCTATTATGCCGAGTACTTACCCATTTCGTCGATTTTCTCCATTTCTTCGAGTATCTGGGAGGGATCCTTGTTCTTCAGGACAGCTGCCCGGACCATTTGGCGCTGTCTCTTGTTCTTCTTGAGCTCCTTTTTGCGAGCCTCCTTGCCTGAAATGCAATTTCCATCGTTGGGTTTAGGGTTTTATTAGAAAACCAAGAAGAACTACGAAACTTACGCGCCTGATCCGTGGGATTCATGTATTTCCCACTCTTGGTGGTGTTGATGGAGCGGCGCCCCATCTTGCCGGCTTTATCCTATTGCTACAATTCAGGAAAATAAATAGCCGGTCGACCCGTAATAGAAAGTATTTGATTTTTTAGCGTGTTGTTTAATAAAATTCCGATTTTGAGTGTTGGGAAATGTGAAAGCATCATTTAGTGTTGTACAATGGCCGATGTCTTGTCGCTAGTTTAGCCGGTACATGAACCCATTTGATAATAAGAGAAAATAAAAATTAAAATATAATTTTAAAGATTGTGAAAAATATAAACTAGTTTATTTTAATATAATAAGTCAATAGACTTTTTTTTAATTGGCTTAGTTAAATAAAAACTTTATAAGTATTTTTCATAGTTTGTGATGACAAATGATGGCACTGGCAGTATTAAATGTTTCATTAAAACTCTGAAATTTATCACGTAATTTTATTTCTTTTAAATATCCATTTAATATTTCTATTTAAGAAAAAGCCAAATAATCGAAATAGTTGTATAGAGACTCTGGGTTTCAAATTACCCGCTGTGCTATCGAACATGGCCAACATCGATAGGCGATAGGTTGGCTAGAACAGTTTTACGATATAAGCAATTACGATATACTGTTGAATGATGCCGCGGCGTGAAGATCGGTGTCATAGTAAGATGGATTGCCGGGACGAGCAGGACATAAGCCTCTCGAATATATTCGAAGAGTTCTGCCTAAGCGACAAGGAGAACAGCCAGCATGATACGCCGGTGAGTTATCCACTTCCGAATAGATCGGAATCCACAGACCATATCAACTGGTTCATTTTTCTGGCGCAGCCGTCTGACGATCTACGGCCGTGCAAAGTGCCCCAAGTGCCACTGGCACCAACATCACCAAGACAGGACAGTCCAAGACCTAGACCAACATCACCGGACAAGCTCTTGGACTATCAAAGTGACGATAGTAGCATCCTTTGTATTGTGGACTCCAGTTCATCATCATCCTTGTCATCGTCGCCGTTTAGCTTCCTACGGTATTCCGACTACTACACCTCGTCCGATGAGGTCGAAGTAGTGGGCAGTACCGAGTATCTGGAGGATATCACCATCGGGGAGACAGATGAAAGTGAGTTTCGATCAAGTTACCCTCCCCCCCCCACAAAAAATGTTTATTTCAACGACGATTCTCAACTCGACATACATAGGTGTTTCAGTTCCTAGCCCCAAATTGGAATCACCTTCAACACCCAGTAACAGTAACAATAGTACCAATACCAGTACCAGGAGCAGTACCAGTGGCAGGAGTATGAATACCACACGATCGGCAACGAAACGCCGGACACCGGGGGATGTGGTGCCGGTGGTGCCGACCAAGAAACGTGAGTACCCAGTCTGGTAGACTGGTGCCGTCTCGGCGCCAGCTCTTCATACGATATCTAAACAATTGGCCTGGGGGATGGGGGTGGGTTCATGTTCTATGCCCATGCATTGGATCCTGGCCGTGCAAGCTGGCGATGCCGGCTTAAGATTACTGGCACCATTTCCATCTATATTCTATCTATATATATGTATGTTTTGTTCCAATCAGAACTCATCGGTAGAGGGCATGATATGAAAATGAAAAGAAAATCCATCTGCGAGGGTATGTAGTCATCCCTTTGCTCACCTGGTCTTCCAATAGGTTCGGCTAACATGATCTCTTTTTTGGTTTCCCGTTTAGAACATCGTGCCTCGAAGGCAGTGGCCCCACCATCCAGCCCCATGCCGCAAGTCACTCGCAGTGGCCGTACCGTTCACGTCCGCCTGGACATGAAATTCGATTATTCCTCCTCGCAGCCCGAGGACGGGGAGGATGAGACTTTCTCCAATTCGTTGGACAGCGATGATGAGGACTATCAGTTGGTTCTGAACCGCGAGAAACCAAAGTGGTCGTCACGCAAGCACCGTCGCCTCATGAGTAACTGCAGCACCAGCAGTGCCAGCGAAACAAATAGCTACTGCCCGGAGCCGGAGGAACCGGCCTATATCTATCTGGAGCTGGGGCAGCCAGTGGTTATAGTGCGTGACCAGCCGGAGGACGGGGTGGGCCTGGAAAACGATGCGGATCTGAAGACCAAGATGCACAAGTTTCTGGGTCTCATAGCGGCGCGTCGTCGTCTCTACAATCCGAACCAGAACTATGACATGGACGACCCGGAAGAGGAAAAAGCCGCCTCCACATGGCAGCCCAGCGCCCTCTTTCAATCGTCCACACCCGTCAAGAAGCCCATCCCCACAGCTCCAGTTCTAACGCCCAGTCGCCTGGTGGCGCCCAGTATTTCAAAAACGACCACCTGGTCGTCCCTCAACATATCCTACGCCCAGCCGCCCACTCTCGAGGAGAAGCAGACCAAATATTATGGGGATCTGGTGCTGAATGCCAATGCCAGTTACATAGAGTCCGATACTCCGGACTACATCAAGGAACCGATCGATCTTACCGAGCTTCCAGCCGAAAAGATACGCAATAAGATCTGTCGTCGCCACAAGTCCAGCATCGCCTGCCTGGAGACGAAGCCGCTCTTCTACAGATTCGTCGAATCTCTGAATCGTAAGTGCCCAGCCCATCACCTCTGATCTTCTGGACTAATCTCCGGTTCCACTTCCAGCTGCCATACCCACGCATATGTGCCATCCACTGGCGTTAAAATACCGCGACTTCCAGAACTGCAAAGCCGACATGGCCAAGGCTCTCTTCAATGTCTTCAATCACGGCATCTTCCACTGCGGTCTGGAGCCGACTATGGTGTGGAAGCGTGTCATGACGCAGCCATGCATCTGCGAGATGATAATCTCTGCCTCCGGCCAGCGCTCAACCCGGATTCTGTTGTGGGAACAGATCACCCAGCCGAGCATGCTCATCAAGCCGCTGCTCCACGAGATGTGCCATGCCGCGGCGTTCATGTATAACCGGGAAGCCGGACACGGCGACAATTGCCGTCGATGGTTAGATATTCTATACTTAATTTCGCTCTCGAATCCGCCTAATTAAGTATAATATCTTCCGCAGGGCCTACCAGGCCAAGCACCTAATGCCGGATGTGCCCACCATCGATGCATGTGAGCCGGACGTCAAGTACATATGTACGATGTGTGTACGCTGTTCCTATGGCCGGATTCGCTTTAGTCCGGGGATCTTGGCCCAGTTACGCTGTCATTACTGCCAGTTCGAGGTGACCGTAGAGCCATGGAGCACGGCTGATATGTATAGGGGCACCCGGCCGGATCCGGCAATGACTTCGTTCAAGCAATTCGTCCGGAAGCACTACCTAAAGACGGGCGAGGGTGAGGGCGGCGGCGGGGGCGATATGCTCCACAGCGCCAAGATGCGGCTCCTCAACGAGCAGTTCAAGCAACTGGGAAAAACGGGAGCAACCGAGCGCATGGATGTGTCTTGTTCTTAAGTTTATATTTTTTTATTGTTTATCTTTTTATTTTTTTTTTTTGCGCCATTTATTTTTTATTTTTAAACGTTATCTGCACGAATATTATATTTTTTTTTTTAAGTAGACGATTTAAAATTTAAAATCAAAGAAATGAAGTAACTAAATGAAGGCAATATGTGCTGTGCTATTTAATAATAGTATCTTTTTTTTAATCCTTTTTTATTGCTCTTAAAAAAAATCAAAATTTAAGTTAAAACTTTAAAGTTTATAGTCGGTTCTATTTTTTTTATGAAAATTCAGTTTTTTTTTTAAATCAAAATTTAAGTTGAAAGTTAGAGAGATACATCTTTGAAGCTGCACAAAATATTTAATATATGTTTATTTAAAAATTAAAATTAACATTAAGGTGACGATTTCATTGAAAATTTATGGAATATTTATTTTTGAAATAAACTCTACTGCTGTGTTATAAAATAAATAGATTCTCTTTTTTTCATTCCTTTTTTGCTATAATTTCCTTTATAAATTAATTGAATTATTTAACAATCACTCCACATGGTGGACACACACTCCAAGTGGCCTTGGAACTCATCCCATCATTCCCTTGCTCCGCTTGAAGGCTGCTCCGGCCTTGCGATTGTGGTTGGCTCGCGAGGATTTGTGGGCCTCCTTCTGGCCGCGATTGCGTTGGGTCTGCTGCGACTGGCCTTGTCCTTTGGGTGCACCCACCACAGAAGCACCACCAGATCCACCACCACCTCCGCCTCCACCACCTCCTCCTCCACCACCTCCTCTATTCCCATACTTGGCCATCTGACGCTGCTGATAGCGCGCTCTCGTTATCTCAGGATTCTCACAGAAATCGATGGGATTCCGCTTGGCAGGCTCTGCATCTGCCTCGTCGGAGCTCTCCTCGTCATCCACCTCCTCATCCTGCGGCTCGTAGGCCGAGCTGGCCGCCGCAGCCTGGAGTCGGGAGCGGAGCAGGCTCACCGGCGGTGCCTGGCCATCGTTCAGAGCCTCATAACTATCATCATACTCGTCGTCGTACTCGCCATTCTCCAGCGGGCTCTCCTCCACCAGGGCGTACTGCTGATACCGGTCTTTGAGCTTCTCCAGGTCCCGTTTGTCGTCCAGCAACTGCTCTGCATTGCGCGGCGCTCCCGGGAATCCCTTGCCCAGCTTTATGATGCACTCCGGCTTGTCCTGGGTTAGCACATCGTACCGATCACCGTCATGCACGTTGTAGTGTCGGACACCGGTCTGACGCTGTAGCTTATCCTGCGGATCGGGCGGCACATACAACTCCTGGCGGTCCACCTGGGCGAGATCTGGCGGCAGATTATCGTCCAGAATGGCGGCAATAGCCTGCTCGCTGTTCTCGTACCGGACGAGCAGTCGCCGGATGAAACCAGTTCCCAAATCGGGCAAGACATCCAGCACAGCCGTCACCTCCACGTCCAGATCCCTGGTGGTTCCTCCACCATTCACAGCCGGGGGATTAGAAACGGGTGAGGTGCGAGAGTTGTCCTCTTCCTCCTCCTCCTCCTCGGTATCCGGGTTGCTGAGAAATTCATCCGCCATGATGCCGTTGGGACAGCTACTGAGTGCCGACTGGTAGCCCGAAATCACAAAATCAATCTTGTAGTCTTTTCTAAAAAAAAAAAAATTATTTAAAATTAATGTAAGAATTTTTGTTTAATTTTTTCTATAAGAGTTTATCACTAAGAACCAATGCAACTATCTTAAGGACCTTTAGGACCCTTCAATTTGACCAATTCCTATCCGATTCTTGAGAGGAATACCTGGTCCGCTTCAAAATTCTGGAAAACGCTTGGGGGCCCAGTATGCCACATATCGGAGGCTATATCTTTGTCAATTCCTATCCGATTCTTAAAAGGGATACCTTTAACGATTCGTGGATCGATTCTCCATCGATCTGCATCAAAATTTAGCAATAAAATATTTTTTAGATTTTTTGTCAAATTTTCTAGGGGGTCCCCTTCAAAATTCTGGAAAACGCATGGGGGTACAGTATGACCCAGATCGGAGGCTATATCTTTGTCAATTCCTATCCGATTGTTAAAAGGGATACCTTAAAAGACTCGTGAATCGATTCTCCATCGATCTGCATCAAAATCTAGCAACAAAATATTTTTCAGATTTTTTGTCAAATTTTCTAGGGGGTCCCCTTAAAAATTCTGGAAAACGCATGGGAACCCAGTATTGCCCAGGTCGGAGGCTATATCTTTGCCAATTCCTATCCGATTCCTAAAAGGAATACCTTAAAAGACTCTTGGATCGATTCTCCATCGATCTGCATCAAAATCTAGCAACAAAATATTTTTTAGATTTTTTGTCAAATTTTCTAGAGGGTCCCCTTCAAAATTCTGGAAAATGCATGGCCCAGATCGGAGGCTATATCTTTGGCAATTCCTATCCGATTCTTAAAAGGGATACCTTAAAAGACTCGTGGATCGATTCTCCATCGATCTGCATCAAAATCTAGCAACAAAATATTTTTTAGATTTTTTGTCAAATTTTCTAGGTCCCCTGCAAAATTCTGGAAAATACATAGGGGCCCAGTATGGCTCAGATCGGAGGCTATATCTTTGGCAATTCCTATCCGATTCTTAAAAGGGAAACTTTAAAAGACTCGTGGATCGATTCTCCATCGATCTGCAACAAAATCTAGCAACAAAATATTTTTTAGATTTTTTGTCAAATTTTCTAGGTCCCCTGCAAAATTCTGGAAAATGCTTGGGGGCCCAGTATGCCACATATCGGAGGCTATATCTTTGTCAATTCCTATCCGATTCTTAAAAGGGATACCTTAAAAGACTCGTGGATCGATTCTCCATCGATCTGCATCAAAATCTAGCAACAAAATATTTTTCAGATTTTTTGTCAAATTTTCTAGGGGGTCCCCTTCAAAATTCTGGAAAACGCATGGGGGTACAGTATGACCCAGATCGGAGGCTATATCTTTGTCAGTTCCTATTCGATTCTTAAGAGGGATGTCTTTAAGGATTCGTAGAACAATTCATCTCCGATCTGTATCCTGATCAGTCCCTGACAGTGATCGAGAACCTTTTTATAAACTCACACTTTTGGACACTTTCGAATGAGCTGCTTTATGTCATGCTCCACTGGAAACTGGCGCTGATAGTCGACAACGAAGGTCTGGGCGGCCAGGCTCTCCTGGAGCACCTCCACCAGCTGCTGGCCACGTCCTTGCTCCAACTGGAGACTGATCACGCGACGGGCGACGAGCAGGAACTGCTGCCGGGTTTCGTTCAGCCATCGGAGGGAGTTCGCCTGGGGATTTATCATGTGGATGTTTCGGTACAACATTGGAACAGTCATGTCATAAAAATTGGCAATGCTGCGAAAAAGAATGAGACGGAAAATAGGTTACTGTGTGATAAGATAGCATGACAGTCACCCCTACCTAGGAACCAGTCGCAACTCCTCTAACATCTCCACCAGCTGGGGCCGCAGAAGCAACAGCAGATGCAGCGTGTAGGCACAATCCATAGCGAAGACCACCACATCGTCGTAGGGCGTCTCCAGATCAGCGTCTAACGGTGCTCCGCCGCCGGCACCCTCATACCCCTCGTTCTCCACCTGAATCTGCATGCTGAGAAAGGCATTCTCGTAGAAGGCCAACGCCTCCTTCATGTCCTTGGCGTAGTCGGGCTGCAGGCGCAGTACACTCTCAATGATATCCCGCAGCAGGGCGATATTGGAGGGCTCTGCATCGCCCACGGCTATTATCAGGTCGAAGAGCATCGGCAGTGAGATAAGATAGTTCGTGTAAAGCAAACTACCATGCTGCTTGGGACTTATCCACTCGGTATCCGATTCCTGGGAGGTGACCAGGCGCGTCACCAGGCGCACCACCAGATCCAGCAGCTGTCCATACAATTCGATAGCCTCATGTGTCTCCTTATCTTGGTTAGTGTCGTGTTGGACGTAGTAGGGATTGGCACGTTGCAGGAATGTGACGATGGCCGCCATGGATGACTCCTCGTACACCATGTACGACCAGAATCTGGAGAAGAGTCGAGTAAGCTGTAAAATAGGTTGAAGATATAAGATAGCGATGTACCCACTCATGTTGTCTCAGACCCAGTAGGAACTCAAAATCCTGTTGACAGTTTTTCGCCGTAAAAGTCCACTCTTCCAGAGCTGCTCCGGTTTTCAGGCGTCCATAGGACTTCATTAGACATATGTAGGTTCCGAAAGGCTTGTCACGCCGCACCCAGTGCTCGTTCTGAAAACAAAAGTGATGCAGTTGTTAGCGGATGGAGTAGCTGAGACACTTACCAATGCCGGAATATGTTTCCGGACACCATCCTGGCCTGAAAGCGTGAATTTCAGTTCGTCCAGTGGCAGTTTTTGTGGATTGCAGTTGTTGTTGCTGGTGTCGTTGTCCAGCATGATTTCCAAATGGTCCTAATGATAGTCTTGTTTACTTAGGCAGCTAGATTATTTTGAATTTTTTGGGAATTTCATGCGAATGTTAAAATAAAAACACAACAACAATTCCAATGCATGGTGTACGGCCAACTTGGCAAGGTGGCACCACCAATCTGTGACGTCACAACTTTCTAACTTTTTTAAATGTGATTTTTTATAAATTTTACTGTTTATTGTTTTATACATATTTAATTTTATTTGTTTTGATATTTAAAAAAATAATTTATTAGAATTTAGAATTAAAAAAGTTAGAAATGAGATTAAATAAATAATTATTTAAGTAAAACTCAATCTCCTTAAACCTAAGAACTTTTATTAATTAAAAATTAGTAATGGTATATGTGTGGGTAGTAAATATTTTATTAATATTATTATTTTATTTATTAGCAATACTTTTTTTTGGCGGCAACCATTTAGCCATTTAGCGGGAAAAAGCCAACATGAAATAAAGTTGACCGATCTGGCAGCGCTGTGCAAGCTCAAATTTCAAATATTAAGTGGGTTCTTTCCCATCAAGACACAAGTGCATTTGGTGGTTCTATTTTGTTCCCAATGACCACCAGAAAAGTGTAAGTTAAAGTTGAAACACACATAACCACAACAAGCATACCTTTCACAAATGAAATCAAGATTTTATTTTGTTTATTTTAATAATGCAGTAAGTTTCGTGATCGCCGATCCAATACTTTTGCGCCAAAAAGCCATAAAATGGAACAAAATGGTAGTCGCATCGAGAAATCAGAGCATCACGCGTCCGTACCCAGTTTTCAGAAGATCGTCAATGATTTGGTCTTCACCTATGCGAGTCCCCAGGGCAGTCAGTCGGCCATGGACTATTTGGGATCAACAATACGATCGGCGTTGGACAAATCGGCGAAGGAAGGCGATATATACCGAATTGTTTTGATTTGTCAGCAAGATTCCGAGGCGGCGACGATGAAAGAAGAGCTCGAAAAGCGTAATGTGAGTTGTCTGCAGATCAGTGAGGACCACTTGGAGGCCCAATTTCTCCTATGGTCGGAAGGGGTAAGTACTAAACCATATATCCTAACTACAGATTATATATTTTTTATATTATAGATTATTTATCGAAGAAAGTTTGTGTCTTTTCTTTTGTTAAATATTAATTTTGTTGATTTTATATATTATAAAAAATATAATTAAAAATACTTATCCCTTCCAGTACATCCAAGAACCATTAATAATATGCGACAATATGCTTTCGCGCCTTCAAAATTTTCAAATAAATTTCGTGATATATATATCGTTGCCGCCACTGCAAGTTTTCAATGAACGGATCCGGATATTAAAGCAGATTAAAACCAAAATGGATATTTTAATTCTAACACCGATGGATAATAAAATAAAAAACGAAAAACAATCGATAAGGCGGCAAGTCGATAACGGTGGAAACCCTGGACCAAAAGATGGTGAAAAGTTAACAGGATCCAGTGTGGGGAACGTGTCATCTGGAACTTTGACAGGAGACTGGATGACAGCCGGAAGTGAAAATTTCTTTTTCCTTAAGACTCCGAACGAAGCACAACGTGGTAAGTGGACCATATAGACCATAATCTGTTTTTTTTTCTAGAAGTCTTTATTTTTAGAGAACGGGAAAGAGAAACAAAAAAATAATAAAGATAAAGATAAAAAACGCGAATTAAAGCCAAAGAAAATGAAAGAAAATAGTGAGAAAATGAAAGAAGATCTGAAAATGACGGTGGACGTTTACATAAGCGAAATGAATAAGATTGATAGGTTTGTTGGCAAGGAACTAAGGGGTATTGTTTTTGATATTCTGTGTTCTTGTGCCTGGGAAAATAAGCCGTTTAATCTAGAGAAAGAGATTCCGAATGCGATGAAGGTATTCGAAAATAATTCAGAATTTGCCAACAAAGAAAAATATATCGACATAAGAGAAATCGTAGATTTTTTTGAAGAATGGCCCCATGAGGATGATTTGTTTTTTAATTTCCTGAAAAGCTGGAAAAGGATCTCAGATGAAGAATCAAATGTGGCCAAGGAAAAGGCTCTGGAGGAGGAGAAGAAAGCTCCCTCGAACAAATCGCCATTGAAGAAGATGGAAAATGGGAAGAAATTAGTGATCCCCGAACCAGGAAAAGATGATTGTGGCAAAGCCAAGAAATCGCCACCAGTTTCTGAAACTGAGGCCAAGGAAAAGGCTCTGGAGGAGGAGAAGAAAGCTCTTTCGAACAAATCGTCTTTGAAGAAGATGGAAAATGGGGAGAAATTAGTGATCCCCGAACCAGGAAAAGATGATTGTGGCAAAGCCAAGAAATCGCCACCAGTTTCTGAAACTGAGGCCAAGGAAAAGGCTCTGGAGGAGGAGAAGAAAGCTCTCTCGAACAAATCGCCATTGAAGAAGATGGAAAATGGGGAGAAATTAGTGATCCCCGAATCTGTTTCTGAAACTAAGGCTAAGGAAAAGGCCCTGGAGGACCTGGAGGAGAAGAACAAAGGACTTAATCCCGTAAATACTCCAATCAAGTACTCGGTACTGCGTAAGGCAAAGCCATATAATGAAAAATTTCAATATCATGATGACGAAGACTCCAAGGAGAAAGAGGATCCTAAGCGTTTCTTGGTCGATCCACCAATTTCCAAAATGCTCATCGATAGGTGGCCTTATGTGGAGGATGTTATGTCTAAGTTTAAGGAGGAGCAAGCCATGAAAGACAAGCCGATGGCGGATTCGCAGGAACAGCGTATGAGGAAGTTAAAGGAGGAGCAAGCCATGCAACCCAAGCCGATGGACGGTCCCATAATCCGTAGGATTTGCGAGCTGAAGAAGAAGGATAAGGACTCCAAGGAGAAAGAGAATCCTAATCGTTCTGATCCTGAGGATCATGCCATGCAACCCAAGCCGATGGACGGTCACATAAGCCGTAGGATTTGCGAGCTGAGGAAGAAGGATATGGACTCCAAGAAGAAAGAGGATCCTAAGCGTTTCTTGGTCGATCCACCAATTTCCACATGGAAGTCTTATGTGGAGAATGCCATGAAACCCAAGGATGATGATGATGATAAGGACGACGTGGATGAGGAGTCTCGGCGGCAGGCAAGGGTGGAAATATATGTCAGCGATGATATCTTAAAGAAGGGATTGAAAAGAAGGGAACGCAAAGCTTCAGAATTGGATGAGGATGACGATTGGGATTTGGATGATTATGGCAGGCGATCCCAGGTGAGCTCTGTCGGGATGGAGGAGCGTATGAGGGAGGCTTATATGAAGTTTTCCACTAAACCCAAAGATGACAAAAAAGAGAAGGCACCGGAGAGTGAGGAAGAACCGGAGGAATTTTTGGACTGTGTTGGAGAATTGAAAGAGATGGATGAACCAGAACCAGAACCAGAGGATCCTCGTCTGGTAAAGCAACGGGAAGAAGAAGCCAAACGAATGGCTGAGCAAAGTCGAGAGGAATGGATGTCGAAGCTTTATAGATTGTCCCATCGCCAAGCCGAAGATCCGAGTTTGAAAGATGTGCCGCTACTCCCGGAGATGCCTAGTGTTGTGGACGGCGACGACGATGCTGTGAACAAAACCGATGTTCTTCCCAAAGAATCAGTCAATCAGTATGGAGTCTATGTCATGGTAGAACCGGCATTGAAACCCTGCTACGAGATCCATGACATCTACGGCTTCGGCGCGGTGACTATTGAGGCTATGCGTCAACACGCCATTGGACGGAATCGTGCCTATGGAATGCAGCGATTCGCCTGGCCGCACATCGTCACCGGCAATCCCCTGATTATCGTTGGCCATGAGCTGACTGGGAAGACGATGTCCTATCTGCCGCAGATCTATAGTGTGGCCCTGAACGAGATGAGCGTCCGATCGGCAAACGATCCGGGACCCACGGCCATCATTATCGTTTATAGTCAGGTCCAGGGTAGGCAGATCGCCACCTGGATCGAACAGTTGATGAAGGCCACGTGCCAGAACGGGAATCGACTGGATAGCCAAATGCTGGTCACTCTTTATGAGCGCGGGAATTTGCCACAAATCGCCTATGAAATGAATCGCCGGGTGGGCATTCTACTGATCACTGCCAATATGATGCTCAAGCTGAAGAAGTGCCATAGCTCGGCGACCCCCATCTTGCGGGCCGAAACTGTCAAGTGCGTGGCTTTGGATAACTTTGGGGAGCTGATCCGCATCCAGCCGGTAACCACCGAAAAACTGGTCACTTGGTTGAAACGAAATTACTGCTTTAATGGTCGTACGGAGAATCCATGCCAGTTGATGGTCACTGGACGGGTGTGGGACGATAAAGTGCATCCGAAAATACTGCGTTATCTTGCCAAACCTCTCATCATATTCGAGGATGCATTGGAGGCCACCGCCTGCATGGATGTCAAAATTGAGCTGCGCGTAGTGCCCGATAATGCCGACACTACTTTGATACAGATGCTCGGCGAAATAAATCTCAAAGAGTCCCGGACCGTGGTGGTGTGCCAGTCTCAATACGAGGCAATCCGTTTACGGAAGGAGATCCTCAAAGCGAACATGGGCGCCATAGCATGCTATCAGGAGAACACCGGCATGCCGCTGGTGGTCCACTGGCGTACCAGCAACGACGCCACTGTCCTCATCGTCACCGATGACATCATGCCCAAGATTAGGAGCGGAGTTGTGGATATCGTTATTCACTATAATGCCGCCACCACATGGGTGAGGTTCAAGGCCCGTTTCGGTCTCTTCTACGACAGCTATGTGGCCAAGCGGAATCCGCCGGGCAAGTCATATGTTCTCGTCCGTCGCACCGAGACCGACTACATCTGGTTGTTGTGCGACTTTATGCTGAAGCATCAATACCCACGTCCATCCAACTGGATGCAGATCCTCTTCGAAAGCCGCCTGAAGGAGGAGGAAAAGAACGGCTTGGTGCTGAATGTCGGTGTCTGCCGTCAGGTGTCCTCTTATGGGGATTGCTTCCGGCGTAAGTGTCGCTATCGTCACTACCGCTGGGTCGGAGAGAAGGCCAATGTTGCTGTTGGTGACATTCGCGTGGGTGATACCATTCAGTTCCATGTCCTCACTGTAAGTGTTCCTTACAGATTCCTAAAGATTCTTTTACTAATCAGACTGGTTTTTTTTTTGGCAGTGTAATAGCCCCTCCATGATGGCCATCCGTTTGAATGACGGACGGTTCCCTGTCTCGGCTAACTACAATCGCACATCGCTGACCAGGATGCGTAAGTACCTGCAGCTCAACTATGAGGACGAGAAGTTACATGTGAAGCACCAAAATCCCAAACCCGGTGACATCGTTGTCGTTAAGAATATGAATCGTTACGAACGTGTCCTGGTCATCAGCATCGATGCCAATAACAAGAAGGTTGAGGTACGCCTCATAGACTCTGGCATCGAGCATCTCACTTATAATCCCAGCCAGCTTTTGGTCTGTGACCCGGCGTTTTTGGTAAGATATTGGAATAGTAGAGTTCAAGACTTGCAAGACTTACTTACCCATCCCATTATTTAGGAGGAACCGCACGAAGCCATTGAGTTGCACATCATTGGCTTGGAGCCGATCAGCATGGAGCGCATCTGGGCGGAGGATTTGACTCAGATGGTCCGTGAACAGTTCTTCCCCCGTTGGCAGCGCCTGCCGGAGTGTAACAACTACTCCGCCCAGGTCAAGCTCATTATCGATGATGCCATTTATGTGACGACCGTCGACCCCTTGGAAGGCGAGGATCTGCGCAGCTTCGTTATGAATCGCTTCGACGTCAACCTGGACCCCAAGGGACTGAACAAGCTGCGCAACATGGTGGACAGGAGCATTCCAAACCCCTTCGATATCTAATTTCCTATTTTTTTTTCTTAAAAATTTCGCATAATTTTAAAATTTATTTTTCAAAACCAAAAGCATATCCTTTTTCAAAAACCATCTCCAACTTCTGGTTGAAGTAGAACTGCTAATACTCTGGTATTGCTTTTGGTTTTTTGGAGAAATTTTTTAAATACTAAACTGCTTAAATATTTATTGGCAAATTTTAAAAATCATAAAGAAGGATTTCTATTTCTTAGATTCTCTGCTTTTTGCATTTTTTAAGAGAATTATATACCCAATTATAACACCTATTTGTAAATGAAATCCTTAATAAATGATGTAGCCAAAAATATAATGTTTTTTTAATATAAAATAAAAAACATTAAATATTTACTGGTTTTTGGAAAAAACCTCATTTTTAGTTCGTATTTCCTCAATTTTTTTGATTTATTTCGCTGGTTCTGATTTTATTTCTTTAATTTTTCAATAAATGCATTTTTTAATATATAAAAACCTATACAATTATTTTTTGTGCCTTATTTAGGTTAAGAATTAAGAATTTAAAAAAGAATAAAGAATATAAATTTATAAAGGATATATCTTAATTGTTTTTTTTTTTTATTTTCTTTTTCAGAAAATGTTTTTTAAATAAATACTACGATTTGTTTTAGTGATAAGCAATTAGAAACCATTATAGATGTTAGAATTATAGATTTTTATTGTGTTTTTTTTTTTGTAACTTTGATTTTTAAACAAATTAAATAATAAATACATCTCACTTAAGGAGTTTTCTTGATATTTTTTTGTGGAAAATATGACAAATTAAATATTAAAATTTTATGATTAATAGGAAACAATTATAAATTCTTATTTGTTTTTTTTTACAATTTGATTTTTAAATAAAATATAAATATAATAAAAATATCTCAATTTTAGATTTTTATAAACTTTTTTTTTTAAGATTTTGAGTTTTAAATAAAATATATTATCACTTTTTTATAGACATCTTATTTTTTTGAAGAAGATATTAGGAAAAAAATTATTCAATTTCTTGATAAAAATCTAAGAACAAGTATGGATTTTTTAAAATAACATTTAAGATTTATAAACAAACAAAAACTAAAAAAAAAAACCTAACTTTACTTCCCAATTACTAACTTTCTAAAAATTACCCGAAAATGTATAAATTCTAATATGTTAAAGCCCACCTCTCTATATATTCATCGTATTACCAAACAGACCGATGGATTTCGGACTTTTCGTAACTCCCATATCTAGATATATCCGGGAAACCGTTATCCCACCAGTGTATGTGTGTCTGTGGATAGGTTAGAGCTGCAGTTTTTTGTGCGTTTTTCGAATTTTGTAATGTCCATTTTTCAGAAATTTGTTATGCCACTGCCCGATGAGGTAAGCCGGAGTCTTTGATATATCCTGATCCTTCATACATCATATATATATATATATATATATCCCCTTACAGGGCAAGTGCCATATTTGCAAGAGGATTTTCTGTTGCGGCAAGTGCCGGCAGAAGCATCAGTTCAACACCCACGCCATTGCTGTGCGGGAATCGTTGGCTCTGCCAGCGAGCAACTCCTCCGGGGAGTCCTCCTCGTCGTCGTCCACATCCTCGACTTCCTCCGCTGGTGGAATCATCGAGCATCGCCTTGAAATGGAGCCGGGAGTGACCACCATTTATGTGTTTTGTCCGATTTGCGAGCGACGGCCACTGTTGCTACGCGAGGAGATGCACGGCGAGCTACTGGCCCACATCGAGGCCTGTCACCTGCCGTTGCGATGCCGGAAATGCCAGCGGAACTACACCCGGATCGATGACCTGCGAGAGTTCAGTAAGTGTGCCGATCAGCAACAGGATTGCTCGGGATCTAGTGATCTCACCTGCGATACAGAAGCCTCAAAGATCACCGTGAAGAAGGCACCGGCCATTGTCTATAGCACCACCATGTCCACACAAACCTCGCCGGTCGTGACGCCCATATCTCTGTTTAACATGCGCTGGAAGGCCAAACGGAGCATCACCCATGAGGAGTACATCAGCGACAGTGTCTCCTCCATAAGGAATCTCTCCTCGATTAGCAACAGTTCCATACGCCGATCCATCGGCCAGATGGGTGGTATTTCCGATAAGGGAAAGCTCATCCGTACCACGTCCACTCCACTCCAGGTGGAGTCCATGTTTGCCAAGCCCAAGGAGCCCATAACATTTAACGCTTCCGGCGGAGGCTATGTCTCGAGTATTTACCACGAAGAACCGAGTCCAGCAATCGAGCCCACTCCTCACCAGCATCATCAGCACCAGCAGCAGCAACAGCCGCTGCAGCAAAGGGCCTGGAAGATGGGGGCGCGCAGCAAGATGAGTGCCGTGACGCCGTTGCGGCAGGTCATGTCGAAGAGCATACAGAAGGCGTTCGTGGAGCACGGCGGAATGTTGGGGCAGCGCAGAGTGCGTTTGGATCTCAGCGATCACAATAATTACTCCACGAACGAGCAGGTGGGTGGAGCAGGAGCAGGAGCGGGAGCTGGAGCTGGAGCTGGAGCTGGAGCAGGTGGTGCTGCATCCTCCGCCTTGGATTTGCGCCTGTCCCCAGCCATGCGACGCACTCAGAGCGAGACCAGCTCCACGTCGGTGCATGTGTCACAGTCCTCGCAGGCCCAACAGCACACCAGACAGATCCTGCTCTCGGCCCAGAAATTGACCACCGAATCCATCATCATCACCCGAGAGAGCTCATCCACGGTTTATAACACCTGCGAGAGCGTGGAGATCATACGTTCCACATCCGAATCGTCCGAAATCCATGTGCCACCACCAGGGACACCCATTCGGGTGTCGGCGGGAACTGGAATAAACAAGAAACAGATTAAATTCGAGACACCGGGGCCGAAGGATAACAAGGAAAACGAGGAGGAGAGCAGGGAGGACTTCTTTACCCCGAATCCGGGAACACCGCCAGAGCGTCCAGAACGGCGGCGCCAGGCGATAGTGCCGCGCCAGCTAAGCGGTGAGTTCTCTCCCAAGAAGGAGACAGAAGCCAAAAAAGACCTGGTCGTGGCCAGACCCAAGCCGCGTCCTCCGTTGCGGGAATGTCGTCAGGCGAAGACCTTTAGCGGCGTCCAGGATATGCCAGCCGAACCCGATGACGACGAGGATGAGGTCTTCCTGCCCACCAATGCATCCACGCGAAAGGAAAAGAAACCGGAGCCGGGAACCGGTAGTATTTGGTCCCTGATGAGTTCCATGATACGGCTGCCGGCCAGCCTGCGCGGCGACAAGGATGCCAACAAAGAGAACGCCAGTGGTTCCCTGATCCGACGCTGTGCCTCCATTGCTGGATCTCTGGTGCGTCCGTCGCGAGGCGATTCCATCGACAAGGATGAGGATGTACAGAGTCTGAAGCGCAAGCGCACCCAAACGCTGGACAATCAATACTGCAGTCCACGGTCGCCGTCCAGTTCCTGCAAGCGCTATCGCATCCGACCCCGGGAACCCATAGAGCGTATGCGCAATACCTAGATTTTAAACTAATTAAGTGTAATTTTTGTGATTTTTTTTTCAATAAATGCTTTGTCGTCTGGAAGATGCCGTTATATGATAGAGTTGCCACATGGGCGAAAACAAATATATAAGTCGAAGAAAGTTTACAAAGTTCTTGATTTAAATCTTAAATTTTTATTAACGTAAGTGTTTTAAAGTCAAAAAGAGATGTGTTTACATTGTATTCTTTGTCTCAAAACCATAGCTGAGGAAAATTATATCCAAAAGCAGGATTGGCAGAAGATTGGAAATTATAAACCAAGTTAAGGACAACTCTGGCTATCAGCAGAGTTGTTTTACTTTGAAAATGTGATATTAATGTGTAATTATGATTAATTTTGAAGTTTTTAAGTATGTTTAGATAATCTTAAACATTAAATTTTCTTTTTACACTTTATAACCTCTAGGTCTTGTCCCTTAGAGGTCAAAGGAATGATTGGACAGGTGCATAAAGCCAGTCACCTTGCGTTTGGGAGTTCCCTTCGAGGTGCCAGCAGCCGGTGATGAGGATCGTGAACGCTGGTTGCGTTGCGATGAATTGGACCGTTGGGTACCAGATTTAGCAGCATAGGCTGCAGCCAAAAGCTGTTTCTTTTTTAGCTCTTGCTTCCGCTTCATCAACATTCTGGGGGAAATATAATTTTCATTAAAATTCAATAAATACATTATAGTTTATCCATATATATTACATAGTCTGTTCATTCTTCCTATTGGCCAATGCTACTTTAATTTGACGCTGACGAAGCAAAGCTTTACGGCGCTCCACGGCCATGTGCTTCATCTCAATGTAACGCTTCTGGCAGATGGACTTGGTCATTTCAATGTCCTTTGCCAATTTGGCGACGATCTTTTCCTAAATGAAAATGATTTAGTTTATGCTGATACCTATGAGATATACTGATCTACGCACTTGACGTTCCTTGAATCTGGCAAAGTGACGATTGTTGCTCTCCTGGAAGGTCTCAATGAAATCATTGTGCAGAGACCACGGCTCGGGATGGAATAGCATCTTGATGCCGCTTGGCATGTTGTTGCCAACCAAACGACCGCGTACCTCCTTGCGGCAGATGGGGCACTGGTAGATGAGTGCATCGCTCGGTGTACGACCCACACATACCTTTACACACTTCTCGCATGAAACATGGTGACAGGCGAGAAGGATAAGCTTCGTTTTATTCTTAAAGTATATTTCGAAGCATCGGTTGCAGTGGATCCACAGCTTAAGCGCGTCATAACTAGGTTCGTTGACCATAACGCAATCATCTGACTCCATGGCAGGAGCCTTACTTAGTTTTGATACATTCGACATCGAGATCTATTTTAAATTTCACAATTTTTCTCAGAATTATGAGCTTCTACGTCCCAGGTTTGAATTTGAATGACTGTGATACAGTTATGGTTGGCAACACGTATGGCAGCACAAAAAACTTTTGATAGATATCTGGCAGCCTACTGTGATCATTGCTGAACCTGAATCGATAGTATCGGTAGTTTTAGATTTTCTATGAAAATAATAAGTTTTTATAATGATTTTTATTTAAATAACAGCGAAATAAATAGTAAACAAAATTTAACAATAAATTTCGAATCATTTTCTACATTTATTTCAAAAAATAGAATCATCAAACATTCATCGATAAAAGTGTCATCTCTAATTTATGAACATTCATCATCTGGCCACACTATCAGTGTTTGGCACTTTTGTATTTTAAGGAAACTGTCTTGTTTTATTATTTTTTTTTGTTTGACGACGCTTGATCTGTAGTAGCAGCTTCATTGTATGAAAATTGAAAAACTCAGAGAAAAACTCCCATCCAAGACGACAATCATGAGCGGCAAGGCGGGCGTGGTGCTGAATTGCCGCACTTGTACAAGGGCCTGCAAGCAGCACAAGGCGCTTCAGGATGAGATCGAGCTGGGCCCCGCCGAGGGCACCACTACACTGGCCAACATGCTGAACTACTGCTCTGGCCTGTCTTTCGAGCCGCAGGACGGCGCCGCCATGCCTCAGCATATTTGCCTCCACTGTCTGCAGCTCCTGGAGCAGGCCTTCAACTTTAAGCGTATGGTGCTCGATTCCGATGAGCTACTACGCCTCGGTTTGGACGAAATCGCCCAGGGAAGCCAGCTGAAAAACAGCCAAGAACAGCAATTTGAGCATGAAACCGATGTGTCGGCATCAGAGACACTTCCCGAAACGGAGACGTTGCCCGAAGAAAACGAGGAATACGTGATGATCGAAATGCTCGGCGAAGAACAGGATCCAGGCATAGTAAATATAAACACTAACGGTTAACTTATGCTTCAACACATTTACCCATAGACGATCCCAATTACTCACACCCGCATGCTCACCAGAAACACCATTAACATTGCATTAATTAAACCCATAATTCTTATGACAGTTGAACGAGGGGGATTTGGAGGGAGAACATAAGCTGGGTGCCATAATGGAAATAACACAGGACGAGGAGGAGTACGTCATTGAGGAGGTGACCGAACAGGAGATGGCCGGCTCAGAGGACAAGGAGGAGCACCTGATCGTCGAGGGCGTCCACGAGTACCAGCCAGCGAATGTCGAGTACGTTACGATTAAGGATGAATACCAGGCAATGATAGCCGAGGAGGATGACATCGAGGTAATGGACGAGTCGGCCACTGGTGGCGAGATAATCCAAGCCCAGATGATTGTGATACCCAGCGACGGGGTGATGGCCGAGGAGACTCTCGAAATGGACGAGAATGGGACCGGAGAGCATTTGGTATGATCAGAATCTTACTATGAATCTTGTAGAGAATAAAAATGTTTATGGTTTTGTTCAAACAGATACAGGAGGAAGTCTGCGAGGAGGATTTTCTGGAGGAGTCACTGGACTCGGTGCCGACAAGTACAAACGAAACTTTGCCGCATGTGTGCAAGGTTTGCCAGAAGGGATTCCGGCAGCTGTGCCGCCTCAATCAGCACATGCGCAGCCATGTGGACGAGAAGCATTACGAGTGCCAGGAGTGCGGCAAGCGACTGAAGCATATGCGCAACTACAAGGAGCACATGCTCACCCACACGAATATCAAGCCGCACCAGTGCGACATTTGCGGACGGTATTATCGCACCACCTCCAGTCTGGCGGCCCACAAACGCAACCATGCCGACGACAAGCCCTATACGTGTGATCAGTGCGGACGCGGTTATGCCGCTCTGGATCATTTGCGTCGCCACAAGCTCACCCACACTGGTGAGCGTCCCTATGCCTGTGATTTGTGCGACAAGGCCTACTACGACTCCTCGTCGCTGCGCCAGCACAAGATTAGCCACACCGGCGAGAAGGCCTACACCTGTGAGATCTGTGGCGTGGGATTGTCGCAGAAATCCGGCTACAAAAAGCACCTGCTGGTCCACTCCGGTGCCAAGCCGCACAAGTGCCACATCTGCGGACGCGCCTTCACCTTCACCAGCAACCTCAATGCCCACGTTCGCCTACACTCCGGCGAAAAGCCATTCAAGTGTGAGTTCTGCGTTAAGGCCTTTCCCACCAAGAAGCGTCTGAACAGCCACCTTCGTGTCCACAACAAGGAGCAGTCTAGCTCCACAAATACCCGCAAGGCGATGGCGGGCGGCAACGGTAACGCTGGTGGGAATGATGTACCTGATCAGCCGGTGTCCAAGTCCAAGGTAGTGGTGGTTCTCTAAACAGCAAATAGCTTTTCGACAATTATTTAAGATTATTATTATATCTAAATATTATATATATATATATTTATATGATATATATTTTAAAAATTTAATAGCTATATACATTCGATTATAGATGGTATATAGCTTTAAATTTTATTGAAAGCTATACCTATAAACATATATATATATAGATATATTAATATATGTAATATATAGGGACAGGTATTAGGATTATGAATGAACTATTAACAGACACTGTACCATGTACATGTATTTTTCCACCGCCAAGGCAATAAATTGTAATAATCCTAAATGTAAATATTTGTTCTATCCCGAATGTCCTTGGCTAGAATTAATTATTTATTGGCAATGCTAATGATAATAATAAATTTCAAGTTTTTTTTCTTTTTGTAAACGAAAAACAATGTTTTCTTTTTTATTTTTTTTTACCTTAAAAACTAGCTCTTATCCAAAATGATAAGATAACGATACGAAAATTTGTAAAGGAATTAAGGAGGAGAAAAAAATAAAACACCTGATTTCAGATTTTTTTTTGGTTTAGCTTTTAGCTGTTGTTTGGTTTTCATTAATCATTAATCAATAATTAATAATAATAATATTAAGTTTACATTGCCAAACAACAAAAACAAGCAAGTTTAGTTATTTATTTTAAAAACAAAAACATTCGTATAGCTCTTATCCGAAAAAAATTGTAATAAAAAATAGCCTGCCCACCCTGCCACAGTCAACGCTCGAGTGGGCTTATGGGCGTGTCTAATGTGATCTACATAGTGCATGTAGGTGGTGTACTTGCACCTGGGGATACTGGATACTCTTTCGTGGAAGGAGGGCTTAAGGTTTCTCTCTTTTTTTTTTTTGGAATACAAGTTGTTATAGTTCTCTTTTTTTTTTTGTGAAGAATTCTTGTTTTTTTTTGTTTAATCATAACTGTGTGTGTGTTTAATGTATGGCATTGTGTATTGGCAAACAATTCAACTATTAACGCCCCAACATGCCGCGCGACCAATTCTTGACCATCGGCTTGGCCTTGGCTTGCTCCAAACGCTCCGCTTCCTGCATCTGTTCAGCTAGCTTGCGCTGATTCTCCCGGAACTGATTCACCGGATCGTCAAACTGGCGGTAATAGTGCAGCACCTCACGCACATCATCCACATTGTTCTGAGCGATTACTAAAAATAATAAAAAACAACAGGGATTAGTACTTATAATCAAACATCCATTAGTTGGAGGTACTAACTCTTAAGGAAGGCAACGAGGTCCAGCAACTGGCAATCATCGTCGTTGCCATGCCAGCGTGTGATTCCAAATGTGTTGTCCGGGTGCATTTTTGTGGAATTCGAATCCCAATCAATGACTATTACCTATGGAACCACAAAATTAATAGAAACATGTCCATAATAACAGACAGTATATGTAGCTACGTACCTTCCGCAAATCTCTGTTCAGATTATCGAGGTTCTTGACATGATGGCCATCCACAAAGTGTGTTGCATCCCGGACAAGGCGATACATGATATATCCATTAGGATCTAGCGCATCTAAAATAGGGAACACGGTCATGCCCTGTTCGGCAGTAAAGACTACAATTTCAAAGTCTTTGGCGCACTCGGCCAGGAAGTGATCAACGCCGGGACGCTTCTTGAAACGCCAGCCGGTCTGATATGTCCAATCCGGATGCACCAGCACATCCTTCATTTCTAGTACTAAAGTATACTTTGGCTGTATATATGGATGCTTGAGCGGATCGGGCAATAGTTTGTCGCGCGACGGTTCTTGGATCATTTTCTGATAGTAGTGAATGCTCTTCCACATACGCTGTAAATATTGCTGCAGAAGCGGCTTCTGTGTGAACTCATCCTCGATGGTCTGTCCGTTTGGATCAACCTCGGGTTTTCCAAATTCATAAATGGCCCAAAGGCCGGCAGCCAAGCCACCGCCTCCGAAAATGGCAAAGCTACAAGGATTATGGAAAGCTATTATAACTGGAGAGAGAGAGGAAGATAAGACGTTGCCTACCCTAGCTTCATACGTTTCCAGGCATGCTCATTCTCCTTGGCCTCTTCCTCCTCTTGCTGTTTACGCTCCTTGGCCAAATCGTTGTCCACTTCGGGTGCTGTTTGCGGGAAGAGCTTGGCTAGCAGTGGTGTATTTGTGAGCAAGGATTCATCGCCACTACTGGCTGCAGTTGAACTGCCAGTGGCCGTTCCAGTTTCGGCAGTTTGTTCTAAAAATATTTTCGGAAATTTTTTCAAATTGAAGGACCTGGATGATGGATGGGACGGAATGGACTGATGGCGACGACGACTTACTGTTGGTTGTGCTACTATAGCCGCGTACGGCGCGGTACATTGCAACACCAGTTGGCGAGATGGTACCGCGATGAGGTTGATTACCCAATGACCTGAGGTTCTGGTACTGGCGGATCGATGTGAGAACGCGCGGCGAACTAACGCTGCGCAGCAGCTGAATGATTGTGGGTGGTGGTGCCATGGTAGTGCCTGAGGGTCTCGATCAATCGGTCTCTAATCGCGGTATCCCGTTTCGACCGTTTTTCCTGCCCAGTCGTGACGACTTGTTCGTACAAAATCTCAATATAAAATAACTTTCAACCTACAAACCGGCACGGTGGCGTTAGACAATTATCAAACGTCGCCTACTTTGGCGTTAGTACATTTAGCACGTGGCCATAAGCCACAGTGCTGTTGCCATGGTATTTTTTTTTAGTATTTTTCCTTATTTACAAGGAAATTTCAATAATTAAACTAATATAATAATAAAAATTCATAAAATAAAAAATATAAATACATTTTTAATTAATAAATTGTTAGCTTTCATTTATATTTTAGCTTTTATTATATAGACCATAAAAATTAGCTAAATTTTAACCCAATCTGGCAACTCTTGTCCAACTGGGTGGCAATAAGAAGAATAACAGGACGCTTGGAATCCAATTCAGTTTTAATTAAATTCTTCGGAAAACTGGCCATTGGCTCCATTTGAATTGCCCAGCAGCATGGAGCAATCGGATCTGTGCCGTGTGTGCAATATCCCATCGGGAAATTGCTTGCCACTCTTCACGCCGCATCTGGTTTCTGGCGAACTAACGACTTTAGCCAAGATTCTGAGCTACTGCAGCGGCCTGACTCTCCTGGAGACGGAGGACTACCTGCCCCAACACATATGCCAGGGATGTTCGGTTAAGCTGCGGCGGTACTGGGAATTCAAGCGCGTCGCTCTGAAGACGGACGCGGTTCTCCGACAACTTTATAAAGGTCTGAAAGTCAAGGAAAAATATTACTATGTGTCGGGAGAGGAGGTGGGGGAGGAGCAACATATGGAAGAGGACGATGAAGCTATAGACCAGGAGTTTGAGCTAGATCAGGAACTGGTTCACGAAGATGATTTTGTGGTGGTGAACGAGGCAAGCCAAGAGGATGAGGATGAGCTAGAGATTAAGGTGGAGGAGGAGTTGTCAGCCAAGCTTTGGAAGCGAAGTATTGCCGATCTAGAGGTCGACGATATTCAGGATGTCATCATCGAAGAAACTAGCCACAGCCAGCTCTTCATGGAGGAGGAGGAAGATACCCAAGATAACTATGAGGAAATTGGGGAACCAACTGAAGAGCAACCACAGGAGGCGAAAACTCAACCTTCGGGCAATAGAAGCCGCCGCAAGAAGACCACTAATCCATCACTAAAGTGTCCGGTATGTGAAGCATTTATCTTTCTCAAAAAATACTCTCTAATTCTTAGTTAATTTTTCCAGATCTGCGAGAAGCAACTGAGCACTAGCAACTCCTTCAAGTACCACATGCAGCTGCACAGCGACCAGAAGCCGTATGTCTGCCAGATATGCGGGGAGTCCTTCAAGACCCGCAACGCCCACGACGGGCATGCCACCCTGCACGATCCAAACAATCCAAATACCTGCCCCACCTGCGGCAAGGTGTACCGTCAGGCGTCATCGCTGCGCACCCACCTGCTAACCCACAGCGGCATCAAGCCGTTCGAGTGCGGTGTCTGCGGCAAGCGACTCACCCAAAAGTCCGGTTACAAGAAGCACATGCTCACCCATACCGGCGAGAAGCCGCACGAATGTGATATCTGCAAACGTACCTTTCGCTATTCAAGCAATCTGATTGCCCACAAACGCAGCCACAGCCAGTCCAAGCCGCATCATTGCCTGGTCTGCCAGAAGCGGAGCTTCGGCACCACCACCGAACTGAATCGCCACATGCTCGTCCACAGCAGCGATCGTCCGTTCGAGTGTCCGGAGTGCAGCAAGACCTTCAAACGCCAGGTCTCCCTCACCCTTCACATCCAATCGCACAAGAACCCAAATGCCGGAAAGATGAAAAAAAAGAAGGAATGGGTGGACCTTTAAATTAGGAATTAAGATATCCATACCCGATATATGTTTTCCAAAGCTAATCCTAAAGAGAGGGTTGAGAGAACCTTAGTCATAGAATTAATTCTTAATTTTAGTTGTTTTCTCAACGCTGTATTATTATTTTTTATTAGTTTTAAGCTTAATTTCTTATTTTATTTAAGAAGAAAAGTATTGTTTTTTAAATAAAAACCATTTGTCAACTTTTAAGATGGATGTTAGATTTATTTAAAACGTTGTGCTTAATACAAGTATTATTTTGTTGATTTATTTTGTTCTTTGATATAACAAGTTCTTCTGTTACTAAGGACAATAATCTAAGGATTAATGGTTTATTCTCGCACCCCTGTTGTATTAATATTCTTACTATATCGCATATACAATTGATTTCGATCTTGAAAGGATTTTAAGGATAATGCTGGCAAGACGGGTTCAACACAAAAATTTCCAGTCTTTTTTTTTTTGTTTTTGTTTTGGGATTTGGAGGATACTACTATATATTTTATATAAATGGGGGGCTATTTTCTAAACAAATGGAAGTTCTGATTAATTATTTTCATGATCTAAAAGCTAAAAAGAAAAAAAAAATTAAATATTTTCCCAATTAGAGGAGTACGGAACGAGTGTGTTGTGTTGTGTGTGAGTGCGAGCGGGTGAGAAAACAAAACATGAAAATTAATTTTAAATAAATATTTGTTAATTCTAAAATATAATATTATAAATGTATATATATATATATGTATGTATACGGATTGGATAATGTGAGTGCTTGCTAATACTTGGCAGACATAAAAAATGAGAGTAAGATATAGAGACATATAGGGACATACGTCTATATACTATATACAGATCACAAGAGGTCGCATTAAAACATAAGTGGTTTCTTCGATTCTGAGTTTTTATGAATAATATCGATGAGTTTTTTTAAATAAAAAATAAAAAAAAAAATGTATGCTTTTCTGGAAGTACTTTTGGTTTAAAATTAAAAAAAAAACAAAAAAAAAAAAGGAAACTTTCAACAATGGAGGCACGCCCGGTACTATATCCTTCCACTGCTAATCCTTCTCCTGTTGCTGGAGAAGAGCGGCAATCTCCTGGAACTTGTGACGAAAGTCAACGCTGCTCTCACTAATCACCGACATGCTCGACGATGGATCCTAAAAATTATAGTTTGTTTTTTTTTAAATAAAATTTAAAAACAAAAAGAAGAAGAAGTCTACAATTCTCACCAATATATCTCTGGTGGCATCTATTTCATCCAAATGTCCCAGCAACGATGTTAGGGAGAAGTCATTGATGTTGTCCTCCAGCCATCGGGCATTGGATGTGGAGTCGCGGAGCAAGTGCATCGGACTTACGCTGCCATGGAAGAAGTTTTGAGCTGCAAAAACGAATATATTAATACTCTTTCAACTTTTCTCACAAAAAATAGTTATATTACTTGAGCTCTCATCCTGGATAACTGGCTCTGGGATCTGGGTACTGTCCGCACTGGTAGTGGTAGTGGTAGTGCTAGTTCCACAGAAATCCAAATTGGGCATATCCCTGCCGCCCTGCATAATGTCATTCACCGGCAGCTCGAATGACGGCTCGTCTTCTTTTTCCTGGTTATCCTCCTGGAAGCATAACCCGCCTGCCTGGCACTCATTGGTGTTGGAAACGGAGCTAACCGAGAGCGAGGGAGAGGATGAAACGGAACTGCCTATACCGCTGGAGGCAGTGTCTGCGTCCAAGCGATCAATGGGCTGGAAGAGACCGCCGTGTAGCTGCCGGACACTAAGCATATCGTAGGGACGAGCCCCCAAAGAACCGGGTGGCAGTAAGCGACGCTGGACGAGCACCTGTCTCCGGAGCTTCTGCCGGGTGAGCTGTTGGGAGGTAAGGTCATCAACTACAATGGAAGAAAAGTGGATAAGAAGTGGACTTACCGCCGTTAGCTGCCTCACGGGATCAATGATATTGCCGATGGGTCGTCGGACTGGGAGCATCGGTGTCCGGAAATTGCCATCCATGCCCGAGTTGACACCAGCGGCGGCCGCCGCCTCTGCCAGCTGTTGCGCCTTGTTCATCAGATCCCGCTTGCGATCGCAGGTGTGACCGCAGGTGCACTGCCGCCGGCGTACACGCTCGCTGAGATTGGCCACCATCAGCAGATGCTTCAGCCGATTGCTCACCGTCGACGAGGTGACGGCCTTGACGCGCTCCACGCTATCACAGTCGTTGGGATTGTACGGCAGCAAGCTGGTTGCTGGCGAGGATGTAGTAGTGCTGGCATTGGAATTGCTGCACGCCGTGGAGGATGGAACGGCGGGGACACTCGTAGTCTCGATCTCACACCAATAGTACTCCAGCTCCAGCTTGGAGTCCTGACCCAGCACCACATACAGATCCCCAATGGTTATGTCCGCTGCATTGGACACCGTCCAGCCGCGTCGTATCCGCTTGAGGATGTCATCGCTGAGCAGGGGTTTGAAGTTGCGCGCCTGGGCGGCAGCTGCCGCCTCCTTGGCTTCCTTGCGTTTGGCGCGGGAAACGGTGGGAGTGACGGCGGGTGCTGACGGAGCTGGTGGAGCAGGTGGTGCTGGTGGGGGAGGTGGTGGCGCTACAGCTGGTGCTGTCGTGGCTGGGGTAGCCGGTGCAGGCTCTGTCGCTTCCGTTGTTTCTGTCGTGGCAGCCACTGCTCCTTCTGCGCCGGCTAGAAACTCCAGGATCTCCTCGCCCAGCTCATCGCCGCTACTGCTCTCCACCTTGGCATGATTCTCCTCCGCTACAGCAGCTCCTGCACCACTTCCAACTCCTCCTCCTTCGTCCAGGCTCTTTTCCAACGCCGGACTCGCTCCCGATTTGGGTTTCTTGGCCTCGGGGGAACGCTTCTCGGAGCCGCTTTCAGTTCTCGGTCGCTTGCTGGTGGCCACCGGAACACACGGAACATTGGCCAGCGATTCGCTGCGCACCTTGAAGCCCATGCGCTCCTCGTAGGCCGTCAGGCAGATGTTAACGCTGCTCAGATAGGCCGTGATGCTGAGCAGAGGACGATGGATGGTCACTCCGGGTCGCGGTTGGAAGCAGAGCAGCGGATCCAGTGATGGGGCTGGGGTATTTGGGGGCTCAGATTCGTTGTTATTGTTGTTCGTGGAAGGAGCTACGGCTGGAGAGGCGGTGGTGCCGGTGGGGTTTGTGGTTGTTGTGGCGGTGGAGGAGGAGGTTGTGGCAGTGGCGGAGGTTGCAGCAGCGGAGGAGGTGGTGGCGGCAGTGGTGGAGGCGGCTGCAGCTACACTGGCCATGTAGGCAGACTTCTCTTCGCTTAAACGCTGGCTTTCACTCCGCCACTTGAACTCGAAGGTCTTGATGAAACTAATCAGTTTCTTGTGCAATGGTACTATGATCCTGCCGCGAGGATTCTGGGCCAGAGACTGCACCCTACCGAACGACTCCATATTGGCAGGCGTTACCACCACCTCCACCTTGCTGGGCAACCGAATGTCCTCCAGACTGTCTGTAAGAGATTCAAGATAAGTTGAAGGATGTAGTCAGTTATGGATGTCCTGTACTAACCATCAAGTTGATTTAATCGCCGGAGTGCTTTGCAGGATGGCGTCTTGATCCTTATATTCTTGCCCTTGGATCTCACCATGATCTGACCCTGGTAGACCAGCTGTTTCATCTTCATGAAGTGCTTCTCCGTGAGGAAGGTGAGCTTGCGACGCATTTCTCCATAATTGATTAAAGTATACAGCTCCTGGGCGGGCTTTTTTAATTCTAAAATATTTTTTAAAAAATTAATTAATAAATATACATAATAGTTAATAGTTTTCGTTATATTTTAGACTCAGATTTTGATTATTTTTGGTTAAAATAATTATTTAAACTATTTTCCATTTAATTCTATTTTTTTATGGACTCCTTTATTATTTTTAAACCAAAATTCTTGAATATTCCTATTCCATTTTTTAAATAAACAACAGCTTTGATTTAAAAGTCAAAAAATAATCAAAAATATAAACTTCCTTTTTGTCCAAAATTGCTTATTTATATTTTTTATAAACTCTTCATTAATTAATAAATAAACAAACCCCCACTGTTGCCATGCAAAGATCTCATAGAGTCAGCAAATCATCAGAATAATCCCGTTTAGTTCTTGGAACTCCGATCTCTCTTACCTTCCGAGTAGCGCACATACTTGCAGATCTTGTGATAGGTCTGATAGTAGTGCTGGCGAACATGATCCTTGGTCTTGAAGCTGTAGTCGCTGTTGGCATTGCGACGCTTCAGCTTGGCATTGATGCAATTGGCCACCGCCTCGAAATCCTTCCCAAATTCGTTCAAAGCATCAAAGAAGCAGTTTCTTTCGATGTTCGTCCATGTGGTCTTGCCGTTGCCGGTCTTCAGCTGGGACGGTGTCTTCTGGGCGGCCTTCTCCTCCTTTTTGGACAGCTCCCGTTCGCTGGGTGGCGGTGTCATCGGTCGTGTCTGATCCTGTTTCATTTTTTGGATGACCCTTGCACTGGCCCGCGTTCCGGGGCAATTGTGCATGGTAACCGAGCCGAGGAGTTCCTCCTCCGGCTCCGCCTGATGGATGCTAGGCAGAAGCTTGAAATGAACGCCCTTGCCATTGGAAACAGTTGGTTGTTGTGATTGCTGGGAGTGATGAGACTGCTGCGGTTGCTGTTTGGATTCCTCTGATGAAGAAACTGCCGGCGGTTTACACATTTCTTCCATGTTTGATGCCGCCTTCGGATATACCGTTTCCACATCCGTATCCGCCTCCGTCGAATGGAGTTGGATCTGGAACAGGATCAGGATGCAATATGAAACTGCGTTGTCTCTTTCAAGAGAATCGACACAAAAAATGGCGCTCGCCGCTGACGAGAGTGTTTGTTTTTTTCGACCTCCCCGCCCCGATCGATCGATGCGATTTGGCCCAAATCTAGCCCACTGTCTTCGCCATTTCTTTGGGCATCAGTTTCCGTCGATTTCACTGTTCTGCGGCCACTCACCTAAAAGGCAGACATGAAAAATTGGCTCGTTCGACTATAATAAAAAAGTTATAGACGCTAGGGATGTTGACGTTCTCCTAACAGCACGCTGTTGTCCTAACAGTGGGCTAGTTAACAGTTGGTTGTGTGCTGTTATGCGCATGTAAATACATTTCTAGTATTGTTAAACTTTGAATTACTGTTAAGATTTAAAAAATCAAAACCATTTAAAAAAAAAAACGTTTAGTACTGATTATAGTTTTAATTAAAAATTAATAAATAAATTATTTATAAGTAGGTAGCTACTAAATCGATAATCGTTTTTGACCGTAAAATGCATACAATATTCATTTGTATCAATTGAAGTTAATATATTTTTTTGAATCCTATAAGTTTTAACATTAAACTTGATTTAATTTTTTAAGAAAGAAAAGATATATTAAAAATGAATAATTCCTTAAGATATAATTTAGGTCAGACTTTTATAATAACAATATATTTAGGTCAGCAATTAATCGCACATGGAAATCCGACAAAGGAACCAAAAAGAACGAAAAGGCTATCATTTTTTCAATCTATTTATAATTTAACATTATTATGTTAAATACTTTAATAAATATATATATATAAACATTATATAACACTATCTTACGGTAATACTTAACATTTGCAACGATCCGGCAATCTCAGCAAGGGGTTGCCCAAAATTCGAAGACGCTTCGTGCAAAAATTTAAACTTTTCCAATGATGGCGTCAAAAATTAAATTTTCTTCAGTTTCATCATTTATCAAGTTTTATTTACTTAAGTTAAAATCTTATATGTATAAAAAAAAAAGTTGTTTGTCGCATGTGCATCACAAATAAATACCAACAAGTAGTAATACTAATACAACGGCCGCAAGTATCGTAATGAGCATTATTTTTTTCTGTAAAAAAAATAATCAAATTGATTTTTCTAGAATTGGGATTAGTGGGTTGTTAGAATCGCCAAACCTTCCGCGCACGCTTCTGATGCTTCTCGGCCTGGTCCAGCTCATCGGCGCCCTTGTCCACATGTAGGGTCGCCTGCTGGGCATGGAACTCGACGCGCTGGATCGTCTCGCTCTGCTCCATTACGAGCGTCTGAATGCGCATGAACAGAGCATGCACCTCCTCGATGGACTTCTCCAGGCGACGCAGCTCATTGAATCGATCCATCAGATCACGCAGCGTTTGTCGTTCCTTCTCCGTCTCTTGTAGGAACTAGGAAAGTGAATGCAAGGCATGCAGGTAAGTGTTTTGAATAGTATATTCAGTATATTCTAACTCTATATGCATAGTTCTTCTTTGGATTGTAAGCATTTTTAAAAACAAAATGGGACATAACTTAGGCAGACATGAAGGTCTTTCTTTAGAGATATCCCAAAGGAGAAAGCTATGACAGCTATAGGCCTTTCCTTACTTTCCAATCTTGAGCTTGGTAATTTGTTTACCCAAATCATATATGTATATTATTTTATGACACGGAAAGAAGAAGTATTTTATGGAGCCTCTACAGATAAGGCTTTTATAAGCAATTGATTGTCTTGTTTGTTGTCAGTCGAGAGTGTTTACTGTACTTACATTGTCCACAAAGAGCTTTGTTGTTTTGTTTTCGATGAGTGACTCGATTTCTTGTTCGCTGGCTTCCGAGTTGACTAAAATTAAATAGAAACTTGAGCCTAAAAGTCAAATATATATATATTTATAATTATACTTACTGATTTTGGAGTGAAGTCTCAGATTTTTCTTGACCTTTGTCTCGTAATTTTGCAGGAATAGTTCGTTTTTGTGCCACAGATTGATAAAGGTCTGATGCAGGCCATAGAAAAGTGTCCTTTTCATCCTGGCCTCCAGGCTATAGTCATTTTCTGCCGGTAGATTCGCCTTAAAATCCTTGAAGCGTGTCATTAATTGATTGCCAACTCTTAGATTTTTATTATGCAGTTCATCCATTTCATTTTCTTTATAGAAAGAAAGGCTATATTAATTTTTTTGGGATATAACGTATACGCACCGTTGAACGTTCGCAGATTAATGGTTTGGGTCATTCGGTTCATGGCTTCCAAATTGGCGGCAATAACTGCAAGTTGTTGTCGTATTTCCGAGTACTAAAAAATATTTATATTTTTTTTTATAAAATTTGAATAAAGTTTTAAAAAGGAAAACCAAAGAAAATTACATTTAGATCTTAATTCTTTAAAGATTCTAGGCATTTTATGTAGAACCGGTTCCTTACCTCCCTTTTTTTTATAAATTTGTTTTAAAAATCTACTTTTTTTTATTAAATACCTCATTAGTTTAAATACTTGGTAATTAGTAACTTTTTTCTAAGCCCCTTCGACTCCAAATGTCACATAAATCATTATAAACATAAATCACATTGTTTATAAAGCTAAGCCCTGGTAACAATTTATTTAGTTTGTTTCTTTTTACAACTTCAAGGTAATTTCCTAGTCATATAATACATATATTTTTTCATTTAAAAGGTATATCCTTCTTTTAAATAAAATCTAGTTAGTTACCAAGTGAGAATTTTTTGTTTACTTTTATGAAGAATTTGAGAAATCCCCCCTAGAAGTAAGTAGGCGTGACTATCACCATTCAAGTACTCTTTCTCCTATCTTTTTCGCTCTTTTTTGTTCTCTCTCCTTTTACCTTCGTAATCACAACAAACAGACTTAATGGGAAATAAAACAAAAATAACAAAAAAAAAGTTTTTTTTTTTCTACGCTTATCACGAGTTTTCGCGCGACAGCGATTGAGTAATACAGCTGATTCATAAAAAAAACTATGCCTACAAAAATGAAGCAGATTCTCTGGAAATTTGGGATTTTTTTTCAGATTTAAAAAAAAAAATATATAAAAATATTAATTGAAGAAAATTTAGAGACTTAAAAAGAACTGTATTGAGGGAATATTATAATTTTTCAATACTTTTTCTAAATTGTTTTGCAAAAATTTACAAGTACTAGCTACATTTGAATATCTTAAATGGTTCTTAAAAAATAGGAGTAATAAAAAAATATCTAAAAAAAATAAAACTACAATTTAACAAAACAAAAACTACCATTTGGAGATTCATGAGGATTTACTTTTGTTTCCAAAATAGTATTTGATTTTGATCTAAGTTTGATTTTGAAACTTAAAAAAAAGAAACAAAATTTTTCTAGGATTTTCTTACCCTTCACAAAAATTTGTTTAATATTATTTTGTTATTATTTCTTTAATAAAATATTATAAAAACCACTTACCGGATTAAGAATATCATCCACATTTGTTCCATTCTGAGACATTTTCTGGCCAAGTCGTTCTTTATTCTTCTCGCTACTATTATTATTATTGTTGTTGGTATTATTTGTGATATTGTGGATAGGTACTATCGTATAGTTGTTACTGCCACTGCTGGTATTACTGTTGTTCACGAACTCCGTGGTTCCACTGTACATATTAACAAACAGTGAACCATTTGACGATGAATTCGAGCTTGTGCTCAGCGTTCGCTAAAAACACACAACAAAAAAAATATTTAAAAACAAACTTTCTAAAATATTTATTTTTTCGAAAAAAAAAATCAAGTCAAGTGAAATAAGTCCATGCGATCTTAACGAAGTGCAGCGAAAAACTGAGCGAAAAATGTAAAAAAAAAACGTTGTATAGAAACTACCAACTTTGCTCGAGTTTATTTACTATTTTTTTGCTGTTTTTAACTAAGGGTTTCTTTTTTTTTTTATTTTGTTATAGTGTTTTCCTTTATTTTTTGTTGTTATTTGGCTGACTACAATCTGGTTCGCGGTGTAAGCGAACAATAAAAATAACTTCAGTACTGGAAATCACTTAGTGCTAAATAAAAAAAAAAAAAAAGTTTAAAAGAGAGGGGGGAGGGCACAAGTGGGGAGACCTCGAAAAAAATCTATATATGTAGGCCGTTGTCGGTGGGTGGCAGGTTGGCGTAAGTGTGATGTTTCGGTCTACTTTATCGCTGTTATCTCTGGACAATCTGATAAATATTTAGCACTCTTTTTTATACCCTTGCAGAGGGTATTATAATTTTGGTCAAAAGTGTGCAACGCAGTGAAGGAGACATCTCCGACCCTATAAAGTATATATATTCTTGATCAGGATCACCTCCTGAGTTGATATGAGCATGTCCGTCTGTCCGTCTGTCCGTCTGTCCGTCTGTCTGTCCGTCTGTCTGTCCGTCTGTCTGTTTCTACGCAAACTAGTCTCTCAGTTTTGAAGCTATCGTCTTGAAACTTTGCACACACCCTTCTTTCTTTTGCACGCAGTATATAAGTCGGAACGGCCCGGATCGGCCGACTATATCCTATAGCTGCCATATAACTGATTGATCGGAAATGGTATAACTTTGGTGTTTTTAAAGTTAGAGAGTTCAAATTTTAGGTGAGAGCTATTTTTGGCAAAATAATACGACATGCCAAATTTCGTAAGGATCGGCCGACTATATCCTATAGCTGCCATACAACTGAACGATCGGAAATGACCCAACTTTAACCCAACTCGTGTTTTTGAAGATAGAAAGCTGGAACTTGGTACAGATTATATATTTGGTCAGTTGATCCGACCTACCAAATTTCATTAGGATCGGCCGACTATATTCTATAGCTGCCATATAACTGAACGATCGGAAATGGTACTTGGTAGAAATATCAACTTTCGTATTTTTGAAGATAGAAGTTTGGGACTTTTTTTAGATTTTGTATTGTAAAAAATTGGATTACATATTCCTATTGCCATAAGGATCGGCCAACTATATCCGATGTTTGCGATATATATCCGGTTTTAACTGCAAGGGTATATAAACTTCGGCTCCGCCCGAAGTTAGCTTTCCTTTCTTGTTTTTTTTCTAACCCCTCTCGATTCTCGTCGATTCGCGTTTCTCGATCTCTCAAGTCCAGAGAGCTAAGGAGCAGACAGGGCGTTACAGTAGTAAAAAAAACCGCGTTTATATAGCCAATATATTGTAGAGCTTAGAATTTACATAAAATTTTGTTTATAAAAATAATGTTTTATAAAACATAATCAAAGTGACGGAATTTAAAATGTAGACTGGGAATTTGGAAAAGTAATTTTTAGAAAGGGTGCTTTGTTGTGATTTTTGTTGAAAATATATATCTTTAATTAAAGAAAGGGCATTAATAGTTTGTACAATACATTTTTTGTTTTATCAAAAATTTAAGATAAATGGTTAATTAAGTTTCAAGAATGAAAAATAGTATTACTAGGTTTATAGTCATCGAATTAGAAAAAAATCTAAACTATATATATACCATTTATATTAAAAAAAAGTCTAAGCATTTATATACAATCGTTAAATGATTAAATGACTATACAATACAAAATAAAATATTTCATGAATCTTGAATTTTTTTTATTGAAAATTTAATGAAACAAAAGACTCTTAGGGGTTTTTAACCTTTAACTCCAAAATATGAAGAAATTCTGGGTTCTAATTCTAGGTTAGAATAGAAGAAACATATATTCTCTATATATTATATAGTCGTATCAACTGTTGAGTCAGTATAACCTTGTCCGTTTGATCGTCTGTCCGTATGTCCGTTTGTCCGTCTGTTTCTATGCCATTTTTTTTCTTTATTTTAAAGCTATTGAACTGAAATTTGCACACAATCTTTATTTATTAAAGTCAGCATATAATGTAGTTGAGAACAAAAGAAATCGGTGTTCTATATTTCTATAATTTTCATATTTCTGAACAATATATAAAATTATATAAAAATGTTTTAATCTGCTTTTTGTTACTTCCAGCTTGATATATTGTTTATATTTTATTCTTAAATCTCTATACGTTTTTTACTTTTTTAAATATTTTTTTTTAACCCTTAATTTATTGTTTATCCCACTGTTCACGAAACTCATTAGCGGGTTACCTCACCACCCCCTTGATTTTGAGTTTTTCTTTTTATTTTGTTGCTCCACTTACCTGTAAAAGCTCCGGTAGTCGATCTTTAACCATTTTTGTTGTTTCTTGTAAATATTCTGTTAAGGTTTATATTTATTTTTGAATTTTTTATCGACCGGTTTTTGGAAAATTTTAAAAATTTTTCTTTAATATTTTTGCACATATATTTTTGTTTCAATATTTATATGTTTTATTTGTTAACTTAACTGGAACATGGATATATATATAAATATATATTATTATTTTTTCAACCTAACAGCTGTTCGCTTTCTTACGTACAACCGGAGAATGCGAGAATTTGAGAGAATCGGGGAGAGAGTGAGAAAAGTGCAAAGAGAACTAAGGCTTGTTATCAAAAAGCTTATCAGTTTACGACGTTTACTGATTAGAAACAAAAATATATATACAGATATAGAAGTATATATATGAGTATTCCAAATATGTGCCCTTCACTTGGCAGAGAGAGATAGTCAGAAAGAAATAATCATTTTCACACTATTTTCTCACTTTATTTTGCACAGAACTCTCTTTATTATTTATATTTCGGTTTTTCACTTAAAAAAAACTTAATTTTTATTTAAAAAATTTTTATTTTTTATAAACTATACATTTATTTGGAATATTTTTCTTAATAAAAGTAAAAGAATTTGTTATTATTTTGTGTTTACCGCGCCGCGTACGTTTTCGAACTGAATTAAACGCCGGCGAAAAAAATAAAAGCTGGGAAGCCTCCCTTCTCAGTCGCGCCGAGATTTCTTTCAATTAAAAAAGATTAAAGACAGATACATATATACCTATGTATATCTTCTAAGTATATATTTGTATCTCTGACTTTTTCGCAAAAGAGAGTGAGAATCAAGCCGGAGATTTGTATTATTTTATGTATAGTTAGTTACAGTAGCAGTTCACATGAATAAATCATTTATATTTTTTTTCGTTTGCCCCCGAAAATGTAAACTGGTTTAAAAACGAGTCAGGAAAAATGTGTTAATTGCTTTTTATTATTACTTGTATTATTATTATTACTTCTCGTTGTTATTTTTGTTGTTGTTGTATTGTGCTTGGAGTTCCGTTCAATTGAAAAAAAAAAATAAACTTAGAAATATGCAACCACGACACGAAGTCGACGCCGACGATGGCAACGTCCAAAAGTCACTTGCGCTAATTAGTTGAACTTTTTTTCTATTGCCGCTTTCTGCTAGTGCTTTTTAGGTCTGCTGCCATAATACCCTGGGTATGCATTTTCCAGGGTATCATGGGGTAGTTACTGTCCTAGGGGTTAGGGTCAAAGGTTCAATGACTAAAAGAATTAATGATTTTTTCGATTTTTTATTATTTTTTTTGGGATTTAACACATTTTTTTGAATATTTTATTTTTGAAAGTTGGAGTTACAAGTTGGAATTGTCGATTTTAAAATAAAATAGTTAAAAATTAGTATAAAATTACAGTAAAATTAAATTAGTAAAAAATGTAATTAAAGTAAAATTAAAGGTTTTAAAATTAGTAAAAAATGTAAGTACATATTTAAAGCTCTTACAACTTAATAATTTGGAATACAAAATATTTAAAAGCTAAATGCTATACTTTTTAAAAGCAATTTAAAATCTATTTGTTTTTTCTAAAATTTATCGTTATAATAAAAAAAATCTCAATTAAATCATATAATTTTTTTTTAATACTTTTTTTTAGTATATTTTTGGTATTTATTGAAGGTCTGATTTCAGATTTCAATGTCTTGAAAAAAACGTATTAAATTTTATGAAAAATTTTGTTTAAAACAAAAAATTCATAATTATAAACCACTAAATTGATAAACCACTAATAATAACTTGAGAAATAAATACAATATTTTTTTTTTAATAAAATTTTAAGTCTTGCAATTAATTTACAGGGTATTATCTATTAATGTACCCTCTTGACTTGTGCCTTGACTTCTTAAATGTTTTTGTTGCTATTCTTGTGGTTGCAAAACGAAGCTTATAAACTACATACGTCAACAACAACAATGACAACAATAATAAAAAATAAAAAAGAAAAGTAACAAAAACAACAACAAGAAAAAGGAAAAAAAGCAATGAAAACATCAACACCAGACAGTTGCGAATTTCCATTTCTCATATAGTTTGCAAATTCCTCTCAAGTTGCCATGCCAAAAAGAACGAGAAGGGAAATAACAATTGCCACTCGTTAATAATGCAGCAAGAATAAAAAATAAAACCAAAACAAACATAAAAAAAAAATACAAATAAATAAAAAAATGATATACGTGTGATATATTGAACTGTAGAATCGCATGCAATTCAATCGCAATTCAATGGGCAGGGGGGACTACAAAATATTTAAATAAATCATTGCTTTGCATGACAACTCAAAATAAAAACCCAATAAGATATTCCAAGAAGTGAATTACTTGATTGATTTAGTAAATAAATAATATACAATATATTCTTGTAAAATATTTTATTATTCTGTCGGGGAATCTCCAATCATGTTCAAGTTTTATTTCTCGAGTGACTTTTGTGTATCAATTGCTTATCAATGAAATTTCTTTGGCGTATTAAATGACACTCGCAATGTCATTTACCTTTCAAGTGTCGAAAGGCTAATTTTATACCTTATAAGATATATATATATATATTATATAGTTTGTATATATAAATGCTTGTATGTAGTAATGTGACTCAAGTCCCTTTCGGATTATTTTTTTAAGAAAGCGATGCAAGTCGTTACATTTTGTTGAAATTGTGACCCAAAAATGGGAATTTCTTTGGAGTATATTTAAAAAAAAGATGCCAGATTTATTAATATATTTTTTATAAATTTAAATAAAAAAAACAAATGTTAATTTTTTTCTAAAAAGATTATCATATTTGAATAATATATATTTCCAATTAAATAAATAGTTTTAAAGACAAACATCTATTTAAATTAATTATTATTTAATTTTAAATTCTCTTTTAAATTTACATATTATTAAAAATTTCCCTTCACCTTAACCCTTTAAGTGCCACTATTTTTCAACAGCATTTAACACCTTAGTTGGCAATTTTCTTTGTTCCCATTGATTGAATTGAAGTTAAATGAAATAATAAAAAGAAAAATATTGTCACAGGTAGTTTATTGTTCCGTTCCATTTTCCATTTTTCTCTTTTCTTTTTTTTTTGGTAGTTTTTCTTTTTCGTCTGGTTTGGGCTTTTCTTTTGTTTACAATTTATTTTGTCATGTGTCGAAAATTGCAAATTTATGAGTTTTTGATGAGTCTTTTTGTGCGTTGTGTGTCCCCTTGGTTGTGTTCCACTTTCTTCCTTTCTTTGTTTTTACTTTTTTTTACCCCCCTTCCCCTCCACCACTCTGTTGTTGTTGTTGTTTGTTTTTTATTTGGGTCAGAGGCTCACGCACAAAACGAGCAGAGGGACAAAAATGGCAAAGGGACAGTGGAGTATGTTTTTTGGAGCAAAATCCAAACAGAGCCCAGGGGGGGAGGCAGAGGTGTGTGTGTGTGTGCTTTTTGACTTTTGATTAAATTCGCACGCGTAAAAAAAAAAAAAAAAAAAAAAAGAAAACTTACAACCTCATGGAATGTTTTCCAAAAATGATAAACAATAAAGTTGTAGGTTTGGAAAGAGTTTGGCTTCTAAAATTACGTGGTTTTTTCTTGATACATTTTTATTATTTTTTTTTAAAACATTTTTAAAATTAAAAAAAATAAAGTATAAAAGTATAAGGTTGTCAAATATCTCCCTTCCGCCTTTTTGTCTTTTGAATTTCGCGGCTATGTACAAAGCGCTACAGAGCTCGTATCTGGCAACACTATACATAATTTAAAAGGTCTTGACATAACCTACAAAACGACGCTATGCATGATTAGTTTGGATATTGCGTTCACCAGTTATAGACGTGTAAACATGGAGTTCACTAACGCCGAAATTCGCGCTATTTTAAAGTTTTCCTTCGTTAAAGGCAAATCCGCTAGAGAAACGTTCCGTGAGATTAATGGGGTTTTGGGGGATGGTACTCTATCACTTCGAACCGCGGAGGAATGGTTTCGACGATTCAGAGCCGGTGAAAACGACACCATGGATAAGCCAGCCGGCGGAAGACCTGTGACGACAAATACCGATCAAATCATGGAATACATCGAGTTAGACCGGCATGTGGCTTCTCGTGACATCGCCCAGGAGATGGGAGTTAGTCACCAAACCATTTTAAACCATCTGCAGAAGGCTGGATACAAAAAAGCTTGATGTTTGGGTGCCGCATGATTTGACGCAAAAAAACCTTGTGGACCGAATCAACGCCTGCGATATGCTGCGGAAACGGAACGAACTCGACCCATTCTTGAAGCGGATGGTGACTGGCGACGAAAAATGGATCACATACGACAATATCAAACGAAAACGGTCGTGGTCGAAGGCCGGTGAATCGTCCCAAACAGTGGCCAAGCCGGGATTGACGGCCAGGAAGGTTTTGCTGTGTGTTTGGTGGGATTGGAAGGGAATCATCCACTATGAGCTGCTCCCATATGGCCAGACGCTTAATTCTACCATCTACTGCGAACAATTGGACCGCTTGAAGCAGGCGATCGACCAGAAGCGTCCAGAATTGGCCAACAGGAAGGGTGTAGTGTTCCACCAGGACAACGCCAGACCACACACTTCGTTGATGACTCGTCAGAAGCTACGGGAGCTCGGATGGGAGGTTTTATCGCATCCACCATATAGCCCGGACATAGCGCCAAGTGATTACCACCTGTTCCTGTCCATGACGAACGCCCTTGGTGGTGTAAAGTTGAACTCAAAAGAGGCTTGTGAAAAGTGGCTGTCCGAGTTCTTCGCAAATAAGGAGGGGGGCTTCTACGAGGGAGGTATTATGAAGTTGCCGTCTAGATGGAAACGGATTATCGAACAAAACGGCGCATATTTCAACTAAATCGGATCACTGTAACACTTTTTATAAAGCATTGAATAAAGAGCAAAAAAGCGGAAGGGAGATATTTGACAACCTTATATAAAATAAATAGAAAAAAGCCTAAGTAATTATTGTTATTTTTGTGAAAGAAAAATACAATTTTATTAAAATATGAGAGGTTTTAATAAAAAATCTTAAATGTAAAAAAACGTTAGGCA